AAAGAGAGCCACTGAGAGGGTGATATCACCAGAAATTTGTAAGGGTGAACATTCTGACCTCTATTTTTAGACAGTTGTGGGAAGGTTGTGGAAAACAGGTGTAGGAAGTTTTGCATATCGACTCGTTTGCAAGCAGAAGAATTCTTCAGAGCAGTTGTGCCCAACTTACACTTTGGATCAGGACCTATTTTGTATGGGTGTTGGCATTTGGATGGGCAAGAGTGAAGGCAGCAGAAGGCAATGCTTTGGAATTTTACAGAAGAAGCAGTCAGGAAATTTACCTCAGAGTTGCACATGGTAAAGCAGCTATGAATGCCTCGGAGGAGATATTCAAATCTATGGTGTATGATCTATGACACATCTATGTCTACAAAGATCTGGCTCATGAAAGTCAGGATAGTCCCTGTGAGCCAATGAGTAAAAAAGCAGGATAGGAAGATTGATGCTTTTGAACATTGATGTTGGAGAAGATCCTGAGAATAATATGGACAACCAAGAAAACAAACCAATGAGTCCTCAAATATATCAACCCACAACTCTCACTTGAAGCACAAATGACCAGGCCCAAATTATCCATAATGTAAGGAGCATGGACTCAATATACAGTAGCAATGTTGGAAAATCCAAAAGACCAGATTAGGGAGAGACCATCACAGAGCAAAATCTATCTATGGGGTTAATTAAAAACAACTTGTTGGCCCACGCTCTATCAGCCAGTCAATTAAACTGTAAAACGATGGGGTGAATTGATGCTTTTTATTCAAGGAGGTAAAACCAAGCATTGCTAAGAGTTTTCTTGCTATATTAGAATGTCCAGTATTGCAGGCTGACTCTGCCCACAGTCTGCAGTTTGATCCTGACCGGCTCAAGGTTGACTCAGCTTTCCATCCTTCCAAGGTCGGTAAAATGAGGACCCAGATTGTTGGGAACAATATGCTGACTCTGTAAACCACTTAGAGAGAGCTGTAAAGCACTGGGAAGCAGTATATAAGTCTAAATGCTATAGCTATAAAAAATAGAGAGACAAATTCATGTTTGTATAGGATACAGCAGGGAGTAGTTTGGGAATGAGGTCACTATGATGAGCATTCACTCGCCAAAGGTCCTGGTTGTACTAACTACAGTCTCTGTCACCCTTGTCTTCCACTCTTAAAAAGATCGCTATTTTTAAAAAGTGCATCTAATTGAATGTTTTCATCAACCACTTTCTACGCCATTTTAAAAGCCTTGAAGGATGAGTTTGGGGTCCAGGACAGTAAAAACTCAAAGCAGGCAGGAAGTGGCAAGATACGCCAGTAAGGGTATGGAAAATGTGGTTTTTCAAGAAAAAGAGACAAAAATCACTCATGCAACAAACAGCTTTCTTTTACTAGGAAGTGAAAGTGAGCGTTTGCATATAAATACATTTGGCCAACTCACCTGGTGCTGTTTTTTTTTAAAAAAATGGGGAATTCCACTACCAATTTATCACTGTTTATATATAGTATATGAAGATATATAAATCACATATTCTGTAATATGATCAAAAGAAGGAAGTATTAATGCCCATAGCAAAAGCCTATCACATTTGCTATTTGCTTTTAATGAAACGAAATGATATTTAATTAACATTCTGCCCCTAAAAAATAAAAATCTTTTATGTTTAGATATCAGAACCATAAGAAATTCAATATGGGTTATATTATTATATTGTTGCAGAGAAAAAAATCAGCTGAAATACAGATTGGTTTTGCAATTTTTAGTCTGTAATAGTTTCCTGTATTAAACCTGTATGCTGCCCAATTCCTAATAACCCTGAATGATCTACCCTGCGATGATCAAATTACAGTAAAATAAAATGAAAGGTAAAAATTCTTAGCCTTTTCGGTACAAATAAAGATACTGCATATTTAATCAGAGGCTGATAGAACGGATTCCTGCATTTCTACATGAATCCACCTTTTACACATTAAAATATAATCTGGAATCTTCTACAGGGCACACCTGAGATGGCATTGCAAAGGCAAGAAGCCCAGGTTTGCTTAAAAGTGGTTTACTAAATAGCTCACAGCTACTGACTTCACAAAACACATTAAAGATCATGAATTAGGCTTTGGCTTACGTTGTGTGCAAATGCAGTCTAGAAGAAGCTGTCTCACCTCTTACTAACCTAGGCTATTGTGGACCGGCAATAATATAATACATCTTAAATCTAAGCTGAGTTCTTCTTCTTCTTCTTCTTCTTCTTCTTCTTCTTCTTCTTCTTCTTCTTCTTCTTCTTCTTCTTCTTCTTCTTCTTCTTCTTCTTCTTCTTCTTCTTTCTTCTTCTTCTTCTTCTTCTTCTTCTTCTTCTTCTTCCTCCTCCTCCTCTTCTCCTTCTTCTTCTTCTTCTTCTTCTTCTTCTTCTTCTTCTTCTTCTTCCTCCTCCTCCTCCTCCTCCTCCTCCTCCTCCTCCTCTTCTTCTTCTTCTTCTTCTTCTTCTTCTTCTTCTTCTCTTCTTCTTCTTCTTCTTCTTCTTCTTCTTCTTCTTCTTCTTCTTCTTCTTCTTCTTCTTCTTCTTCTTCTTCTTCTTCTTCTTCTTCTTCTTCTTCTTCTTCTTCTTCTTCTTCTTCTTCTTCTTCTTCTTCTCTCTTCTCCTCCTCCTCCTCCTCCTCCTCCTCCTCCTCCTCCTCCTCCTCCTCCTCCTCCTCCCCCCTCCCTCTCCTTCTCCTTCTCCTCCTTCTTCTTCTTCAGATGCCCAATCCTTTTTTTTTAAAATCAGATTAATTTGGATAGGTGCATAATAACACAGCCGCTGATAAAGTGCCAAAATGGTTGATACATTTCTCCCAGGGGAAAAAGAGGACAGCAAGGGCAGAAACTAAGGGAGAATTGCAATTTTGCACCAATTCATGCAAAAATAGGCAACAGAATCACAAGCCATCTTCCTGCAGCAGGAACAGCAACAGCACTTAGACTTATATACCGCCTCACAGTGCTTTACAGCCCTCTCTAAGCAGTTTACAGAGTCCGTATATTGACCTCCAACAATCCGGGTCCTCATTTTACCGACCTCGGAAGGCTGAGTCAATCTTGAGCTGGTCAGGATCGAACTGCTGGCAATGGGCAGAGTTAACCTGCAATATTGCATTCTAAACCACTGCACCACTATGGAAGCATTATGATGTGATGATTTAAACCATTATTTATCTGCTTAACTGTGGTATTGCTCCATACAGGATGTCCTTGGTGCTCTACCCCATGGGACAGCTTGTTAGCTTTTTACACGAGGCTTTTAACTGTTCAAGGTACAGTGGTAAAACTCACATATTACCCCAAGGCTTCTCTCAGGGAAAGCTAGCCAATTTTATCGTGCTGACAGGGGACTAAAAAACAGCTGGATAAGCAGCCACAACTATGCAATCAAAGTCCCAGTAGTAGAGACTATTTGTAGCTCAGGGTGGAACTGTGGGGTCCTTGGTGCTCTCTGAGCTTGGCTGCTTTCTTGGAGACATTTCATTACCCAGCTAGGTAACATCATCAGTGCCAAAAGTCGGGTTTGCTCTCTGTTTATCTGTTTGAGAGTGGGGTTTACTCTCTGTTCATCTGTCATTCTTTTTACATGCATTTTTAACAGCCTCCTTGCAAGCACCAATTTAGCTTCAGTATAACTTCCAGCCCCATTTTTATGCTTCGGCCCTGAACCTCAAGGAGGATGCGGACGTTTAAGGAGAACATTGTAAACTTGGGAGATGCAATGTTCTTTCTTTCTTTCTTTCTTTCTTTCTTTCTTTCTTTCTTTCTTTCTTTCTTTCTTTCTTTCTTTCTCTTTTTTACAATCAGATCAATAAAATAGGCATGTTAAGCTTCCGGGAGATTTCATACATCTATTTTCTACTTCTCCACAAACTTCTAAAAATAAAGCCCCAAACATTCAATTTTATTCACTCTGGTGACACCACCATCCTTCCCCCACACTATGGCTCTCAGACTGAAAATAATGTAATAAAATGAAATGTGTAGAGTCCCTTTGGAAGAAAAAAAATGTTATTCAGTCCTGGTTTGTACAAATCTATCCTTGTTTTTTACATTAACCTAGTTTTGGGGGTTGTCTTTTGTATCCTGGAATGAATCTTCTTGGTTTTTTTTCCTAGGAGTGGCAGAATTTGCTTGCCCCAGTGATAGCATTGCTAACTCGTGATTAACTGAAGCATTGTTTTTCCTCATTGACCCAATTTAGTGGGTTTGCATTATGCGTTGCCCAATAAACTGAAAGCACATGAACTGCCTTCGAATAGTAGCTAAGCTAGCGTTAAGATTCACTCGTTTGCATTCAGTGTGTTGCACAAATCTTCCTGTGTCTTTCTTTGTGTTTTGTTTTAAAGGGTCACTTCCTCGACATGTTAAAGGCTTAGCTAGATACCGTATTTTCTTCATGCTTTTTCCATGTGCCAGTTTTCTTACAAGGTAATTCACACAGTGTATCACACCAAATAAGGGAGCATCTTAATTACATCGTTACTCTGTAAGTGTGGTCTATTTTTCGCCCTGTACAAAGGTAAATGCTCTCATATTTGTTCACAGAGCCTAAAGGAGGGAAGGATTTACAGGCATTTTTAGTGAAATGTGAGGGAAATAATGGAACAAGAGTCGTTCCTAATTCTCGTTTTGGAATCAGACTTCAGCATATAAAACGAGGTGGGCTAAATATTTATTTCCTTAGAAGGCTAGCAGCTGAAGTGTAAAACAGAAATATAACTCTTCCTCGACTTACGACTGCAGTTGAGACTGAAACTTTGGTCACTAAGTCATGCAGTTGCTAAGTGAGTTGCACCCAATTTTATGTCATTTTTAAGCAAATCATCATGGTCGTTAAGCAAATCCAGCTTCTCCTATTGACTTTGCTTGTCAAGGAAAAGGTGCGTACTGCAAAGCTTTACCAAAAGGATACACGGTCAAGATACATTAATTCCAAGGGAGCTTACACATATTTGTTCATATGATCACTACTGCAGAGGAAAAGATCAAGGGAAGCTACTTACCCGGGCAGTGTAGGATATCCCTTTCTCCAAACTGGATTCACCCTTTTGTCCAAGATCTTTGCCTGGCTTGGATAGGAAGCCAGAGTCTCCCACGGCTAACAAAACACAGTTCTCTTGGGTGTTTGGGCTTGACTTGAATGCCTTGACTGGCTCTCCCTGGGAATAAGCAGCAGACAAGGAGCCACTTAAGCCGATTTCTGGCACGGTTCGGCTGGCCTGGACAGTGACGCATTCGGTGAGTTTAAACCTTGGCACCTCTTTCGTTCGTAGGCAGAAGTTCTTCAAGGTTGGCAAGGTGGAAGGGTTGGCCAGCTTAACGTTGGCCATGCGGGGTACCAAGGTACACAACGAAATGGAGCTGTCCGAGGTACCAACTGGGACATCTTCAGTGAGTGTCTTAGAAGTACTGGAAGGAGAAGCTGAAGAAGACTTCAGGCGGAGAATATCGCTCGTCGACGTGTCTTCCTCCAGTGAGGTGTGGGACTCATTTCTAAAACGACTATATTTAGTCCTGTGGAGCATTCCTAGTTCTCTTAAGACTTCTACATCCAGTAGTTGTGCACTCAAGCAATAGAGGATAGGTTCTCTCATAGCCTGCAAAGTTTTGTAACTCAGTCTCCTCGTCCCCCGCCCTTAACCTAGCTGCTTTCTTATGAATGACCAAACAAAATAGGGAACCAGACAGATCAAAACAATTTTGAATAGAAAAAATAAGAAAACAGGGTTTCTGGTCTCTGTGGATGCTCTCAAAACATCTCCGGAATGTTTCTTCTTCTTCATAAACCCTGTTTCAATTTGCCTGGTCATTTGATTGTCTGAAATTAAATCAAAGTGAAAGACATATGAAGCCCATATCCCAAAGCTACGTCTACTTAATCTGAACAGTTATCATAATTTCAAAGCAAGCAAACTTCAAATTCTTCTCAGTTTTCAACACTCAATATCTTGATTCTGTGTAGGATTAATGTTAAAGACCCGGCTACCTTTAAAAAAAAAAATGAAGTACCGGTATTTAGGACGAAGACACCATAAGAAATCTAAAAACTCTACTCTTTCTTGAAAAACAACAGCAAGGGTGTTGTTGTTTTTTTTTTGAGAAGAAAGTAGCCTTCTTCTAAGTTGATTAACAGTGATTTGATCAGCTGATGTGGGGAAAAAAACACTTCTCTGAAATTAAAATAAAATCCAACAAAGGCAGCTTGAAGCAAAAAAAAAAGTCCAGGTTAACGTGTTCTATGAACGAAGCTCAGCTTCTGTCTGCAAAAAGCTTGCTCGTCCTTAAAGACCCCTCAGTAGCATAGTGATCCTCAAATACCCCGCGTAGATTGAGGTTCTGGCACAGCAGAACTTCAGATCTTCAGAACAACCATCAGTCAATGGAAGCGTTGTCCATCATTCTTGGGAGCCATCGCCTTAGCATTTTTCCACCTCCAGCTCAGGATGACCGATTTCTTGGAAACGTTTCAGAAAGAACGTTGCTTTTCCTCATCCTCCTCATCCTCTTCTTCTTCTTTTTCCTCTTCTTTTTTATGAATGAAGTTTTCTGAATGGATCTCACTGTGTGCAAGCTAAATAAATCTGTGAATGAAGCTGAGAATGGCTGTAACTGACTGGCAGTCCCAGGGGTGTTTAGTCTGCAGCCAATCGGAAGGGAGCCTGATGACTCACGCACCATAAATACACTAAACTAGTAGCCATCCAAAATGTGACTTTTGGCAAAGGGGCAGCTTTCACTGTACCGGGAGGTAGCCAGTGAGGGGGGGGGGGGGAGGCAATCTTGGCATGAGATGCAATTCAGATTTTTTTTCTCTCTCTCTTGTTGAGAAGAAAGATGGAGAGCGTGTGGTTTTCTGCAATGCAGCAGCAGGCGCGTAGCATAAAGAAAAGGCATTAATTCATAGGATATAAAGCCCTGGGGGGAAAAGAATGATGATCTGGGGGGGGGGGTTGTTGTCTTTTTCCTGTTTCTTTTTTCTTTCTTTAAGAAACAGAGCTGCTTTCTATTTACTGGGAAGGCAGATCAGAAGAAAAGGGCAACACAGGAAGCCCGGGACCTGAGCAGGCAATTCAATAAATACATCACATCCTCAAGAAACTGCGAGCCATCACAGGCATTAAGGAAGGAAGACGAAAGTGCATCTAGGGAGAAGAGAGGGGAAGGGTAGGGTGAGTTGGGGGGGGAAGGGGTGGAATCCTGCAGCTTTATTGCTGGGTTCATTAGCATGGTTTTGTATTTTCAAAAAGGACTCTGTTTGGAGTGAGCTCAAAGCTGGAAGGGGTACACAATAACAGGAAGAGACAGGAAGATTGAGACTGCTTAAAACATCCAATCCTCTCCATGGAGGTCGCCCGAGCTGATGGAAGGTGTCTCTTCCCCCAGCCTCTATCACCTTCTGTCTTCAAATCTAAAAATATGAAAAGACGTTGAACTTGGGATCTTTCCCAACAAAAGAGATGCTGCAACCTCCCCTTGCAACACGCAGAGGGATTTATTCTGAAGAAGCAACGGCCCTTAAGCTTTCCTCCATCCGAAACCCGGTTTAGTCCTTAGTAATTTCTGAAAATCTTCTTGGGGTGGGGAGGGGAACCATGTTCTCAGTTTTAGACTGATTTTAGTATTATTATTATTTTTTTCCCTCCTGGATGTTGTACTATCTTTGGATTGATTCCGATTCACCCCACGGTCTTTCTTTCTTTCTCTCTGCTGTTGTCTGCTCCGACAATGTGCTGAGGTCTCAGAAGCAAATCAGCCTCAGCCTAGCGTTGACATGGGGAAGATGGTGTACATTCTGGATTAGTGAGCAGCTCGCATGAAACTCATTCCTACCTCTCTGTTTTCCGTCGTGTTTTCGACACCAGAGGGGCCATACTGGTCACAAGAGGTACATTCACTTTTCTCATGGGAAAGCACACTCAAGCCACACAAAAAGCACCATTGTTTGCAGCGAACCCACAACACTGAACGCTATTTAACACGATGGTTAATCCTGCTCTACAAAGCTTCACATGATCCCAGAAAACCCCATTCGGGTTCTTCTTGAAGGCAAGTTTTGCTAGGCCGCAATTTCTTCTGCTAAAAAAGTCTTCTTTTCTCCTCTTTCCAGTGATGCAAGCAAGAAAGGGAAAAGAGAAACATCAAAGGAAAGCTCATCTACCTAGAGGCATCAGTGAGTGGGCCCGCGGTGTGGGAAGAGATACTTAATAATAACACAGTGTTTTTCTAAGTCACAGGGTGTTGCACATGTGAAATGAAGGATTTTTTTTAAAAGCCTTTCATTTAAATAAAGGAAACAAACAGTAGCTTTCTATGTCAACGGGAGGAGGGAAAACCTGGCAGAAGAGGAAATAATAATTGAAATCACTTTTATTTTCAATTTTGGAAAGCTTAAACACAGGCCTGACTTGTGCAGTCAGAGATTGCAAAGTGCATTGGATTTTCACTCTCCTGACCTCAGGTGGGAAAGTCTAGGTCAGTGGTTCTCAACCTGTGGGTCGGGACCCCATTTGGGGTCGAACGACCATTTCACGAGGGTCGCCAAACAACGCAGTCCGCCATTTTTTCCCCCCCTTTTCCTTAGCTGTGCTCCTCCCTTTTATTCTATTGGCTTTTGAAAGCCAATAGAATAGACTCTCTTGAATAGAGTCTAATTCTATTGGCTTTCAAAAGCCAATAGGAATTGTCCAGGCTGTCTCTGCCCTGCTGAGCCCGCCAAAAGTCCCATTCTGCAAAAGGTGGTGCACCAGTTGAGTAGTTCTCGACTTACGACCGGTTGAGTAGTCCTCGACTTACGACCGGTTGGGGGTCGCGGCATTAAAAAGGTTGAGAACCACTGGTCTAGGTCCACCTGTGAAGGTCCAATTAAGCTGACTTATTGCTAAGTCAGGAGTCTTCTTGAACTAAGCCAGCATCTGGTTAGAGTTAGACAAGAGTCAATAGAATTCATTGATAGTTGAACTTAGTTCTCGGCAAGGTAGGGATTTTAGGCAGATCCCTCTTTCAACTCCACCCCCAGGTTGTGCCATTCCTTCTCCTATACCTAATTAGAACAAGCACGAGAACAGAAAGGAAATTGATGCCATTCCATTGGATGAAACATACTGTCTGTTTCATTCTTAATTACATCTAACCTGAAGAGCACATACCAGACCCCCAAAAACTGAACATCTATTTACATTTCCCAGAAGTATTCAGAGCAGAGGTTGGTAAGCTAAGGAGTCTCAAGACCCTGACATTTAATTATAAATATAATATATACTCACCTATAAAAAAGAATATCGGATGGATCTTCAGTGGATTCTTTTTTTTGTTTTTGATCCACCTGTGGTGTGGCAAAAAAAAAAATAATAATGGATGAAACATGGTGAGCAAATAGTAAGGCAAGGTTGACCTACTCAGAATATGAATATGGGCCAATTATCATCATAATCCCACAGTTTTTACCCAGCAATATGAACGTCCTTATTTAAGATTCTAACCATGTCCCATCACAGGTTTAACATGCAGTTTAACACAGATTCCGAGAACAATATTTTTTTTGGGACAGAAAGCTGATCCTAAGGAAATTTCCAGTGGAGCTTTATATGAGAAAGCTCATTTAACTCAATGAAGATGCCTGAAGCAGGGATGGGACAGGTATCACAGATGGTGGAATTTGACATCTGCTGATTTAATGTGCCTTTGTAAAATCCCATAGACATGATAGGCAATTGCACAGAAATTATCTCACCTGGAAGATCTTTGGAATTGCAAAACAAGCCCAGTCTGGATACCTTCAACCTGAATGACTGGCCTATAGAGGAAACCATTAGGAGATCAAACCCAGCCTTACTCTTTCTTACAAAGCTCTTATTGTCAACATAGCATATTAAGTACCGTATATTCCGGCGTATAGGGCGACCCGGCATATAAGACGACCCCCCCAGTTCGACGCCGGGTTGCAAGACGATCGACGCCGAGTCGCATGCCTAGAAAGTCGTCTTATACGCTGGAAACTACCGGTAGTTCCGGCATATAAGACGATCGACGCCGAGTCGCATGCCTAGAAAGTCGTCTTATACACCAGAAACTACGTTATTTCCGGCGTATAAGACAATCGACGCCGAGTCGCATGCCTAGAAAGTCGTCTTATACGCCAGAAACTACCTTATTTCCGGTGTATAAGACGACTCGGCGTATAAGATGACCCCCGACTTCGGAGGCTGTTTCAACGCTCTCAAAAGTCGTCTTATACACCGGAGTATACGGTAAGAGTAAGCAAGTGGTCTTCTCCGATTGCATGGTCAAATGGCTTCATTACACATCAGCTATACACCATAGGGGCTCCCAATGTGCACTGTCATGGTTGTGCACAGTAAGCATGCATGTATATTATCCAGTAAATATAAGTTTACTGGATTCACATGCCATTAAATATTGATCGTGCTTTATACACCACAGCCACTGAATTCACATTACGCATCATGCCAGAATTAAAAAATAAAATGAAGCCGGATGGTTTATTAGGATGTATAAGATCTAGGAAGATATTTATGGAGTATTGACTTTTGGTGTCACGTTGTGATTCAGAATTGTGTTATCTGAATTCTTCAAAGCATATCATCTATTTTAAAAAGGAAAAACTAGTAATCTATCAATGTTGGCTTTTCTGGAAAACATTCTCACATTTGTTGACCACAGTGGACTTGAAAGAGGGGAGGGAGGAACCCACAAAGCAGAAAGGAAATCTTCCTAAATTGGGATGGATAAGAGTCCATCTTGCTTATACGCTTTGGAAATTTGTCTTTCCTGGAAAGTGCCAGATTCCAGAACACTGCAAGATTCGCAAATGGCTTTTGCCTAGATGGAACCAGGCCGTCTTTCCCCTTCTCTTAAAAAAAGCTGTGAAAATACAACCCTGCAAAACAAGGGGCGTTTGCACAATGCCATGGGTTTCGCCAACCCCCTTCTTCCCGGGGAAGTGTGGATGCCACCCCATCACATGCACCTTTCTCATGTTAATTCACAGCGTGTGGGTGAGAGACACTGCAGTCACATTTGTTGCCTTGTGAGTGAGGGGCGGAAGGAGAATCAGGAGGCATGTGCTGTCACCACCCAAGGGTGTGCTTGATGCAGGAGACCAGAGTCACGTTAAATTCCGATTGCCTGCTCAGCTAGAAGGCGTGTTCCTCATGAAACAGGCATACATTAAAAGTTAGTCTGCTGCCTAGTGGAATGCAACGTGCATATTGCTTTTTGGATTTGAAGACTTGTCGGTTTTTAACACAGCAGCGCTGTTTTTTTTTTTTTTTAAATGAAGCCAAGAGCAATATTTATTGCAACCAGAGACTTCCTGTCCCTCATTCAGCTGTTACATTATCACAAAAAGCATCCTTTTACACAGCCTTCCCTTCCTGCTGATTGCCTTTGAATTGCTGCTTCTCAGTTTTCGAGTGATAGGCAGGAACAGCTCCACTACACTGCTGTTTTCCCAGAGTGGGGTGGGAAGGGAAAAACCAAGAGGAGCAATTACCTCAACCTACATCCCCAAGGACTGCTTTTTGTTGATTAAGTCCTAATTAACTGGGTTCACAAAGATACTGAGCTGTGGATTACAATCCAGTGACTTACTGGCCAGAATCTGCCAAGCTGAAAGAGCCAGACTATCATTCTTCTGTGGCATTCAAACCTATTGCTTGCTACGATTAAGGGGCAGCAAACTGGAGAATGCACTTAGATGCAGGCTACCAAATGCAAATAAGCATTTTAAACAGGATCTGAGAGTTGCAGAAACCAGGGGAGGAATACAAGAAATGGTCCTGCAACAAGAAAAAAAAAATCTCTTTCCTGAACATGCACACACAAAATGTTAATTTCCCACACCCACAGAAATCAGATCAATCCTGGCTTGGTTTTAAAGTGAAATCCACAGGGGTGCTGGGCAAAAAAGAAATAATAGTGAGCAGCCACTGCTCCTAAATTACCTTTTCTCCTTTGTGCATAGAGTGCTAGTTGCTAAAATTTCTTACCATTGGGCGGTGGGGAGGGGGGGGGGAAATAGGATGCCCCAAAGTTCTGTAGTTTTAGCCTTAGAAAGTTTCTCCTTTTGCAATTTTGGATCCACTGCAATTGAGCTAGAAGTGAGCAACAGATTCGAGAGTTCAAAGTCCTTCTGTGTAGAACAGGAGTTCCCCATACCATGTAATATATATGAGAACCAGTCTAATGTAGTGGTTAAGATGCTGGCCTAAAAAACCAGGAGATGGTGAGTTCTAGTCCCACCTCCAGCTGGAGGCCACCTCTCTCTCAACCCAATCCACCTCACAAAGTGGTGCAAAGTGGAGGAGAAAGGAGTATTGAGTATGTTTGCCACCTTGAGTTACTCCTTCCCCAATAAAACCTAATAATATAATAATCAGAAAATACACTGGCACTCTGAGGCTGATGCAGAATATTAATAGACAGTTAAACGGCTGGATATAAATATCATGGCACTCCTTCTTATAATCATCTTTATTTCACTGTGGAAGATCCCCCACTAGTATTTACATAGTGCAAAAGCTGTTATTATTCCAAAAAAGTATGGTAGACAGAACAATCCTTCATAAAAAGGAGAACAGAGACAGAACATGTTCGTGAAGTAATTTCATTACGATTTTTCCTTCCAATTTAAACTTTTAGATGTTACTGATATTTAGTGTACAGGTATCAAAGATTAAGAGGCATTACCTAAGTACAGTCTTTAAAAGTACATTAATCACATATAAACATTAATTAGGCTGTGCCCCTTATACTACTTTTTTTCCCCAAATTATTGTTTTAAGGTTTATTCTGTGTGTAGGACTGAACTGGGCACCGAGCTGTACAGTTTCCATTTATGGCTTTTTTAAAAAAAGTGTTCCGTTAGTGATTAAAATCTGGTAAATTGACTGAGCATCTTGATTAATTGGCACAATTTCTCACACATACACGCACACAAACACACACACACATTACCACAATTTCAATAGACAGCAGCTTTTCAAACGAGACTTCTTTTTTGTCACCCTCCCCCTCACCCTCCCCGTGCCATTAAAATTTAAGAGCTTCCAGTTGACAATTGGATTTAGCTACACTGCATAGGTCCACCCAAAGAAGAATCTAAGGTATTCCCTAGTGATGTGTTCAGAATACATATGAGTGCATCATTCAAAAGGATCTCTTCCTTTTTTAAAAAAAAGAAATAATAAATAAACCCAAACAGCCAATCAAACACTACACCAATCACTGATCAAATGTCAAAAGGTTTGTAAAAACATGCCATTTAAAACGTAAGCTGGGGAAGAGGGTGTAACAGGGGAGGGGTACAAGTACTGTAATCAACTTTGTTAGGATAAACACATACATGTTACAATTAGCCTACAGACCCCGCTTTCTTATTATTTGGCCCACCATAGATTTCGGTGCATCAGCCCACCTTGTGTTCCCTCAATACTTTGTGGCTTCTCTTTTTATGCAAATACTGGAAGTGCTTAGGACTATTTCCTCTACCCATCAGACGTGTCACACGCACCGCATCCCACCCCAGAAATCCCCCTTTTGCTATTCACTCTAGTGAAATTAATTAAACTGATTTTAAGGAAGAGGAAACATTGCTGAGCTGGGCCCAATAAAACTGCAGAAATGGACCGTCCCTGTTTATAACAAGGATCCATTTCTGCCGGTATGGACGTTAACTTACGGAGAAGAAACATCACGGACTAGGGACAAAAGGGACGAACAGAAATGTTAATACCGCACTGCATCGCAAAAAAGCACGTTGAACACGGAGTACAATCTAATACAATTCATAGACACATTCTATTCTCAACTTGGCTCTTAGGGCCTCCAGGACGAACACTTTGTAAAGTATGGCTTCCACCAATGATACGCTATTTGTCTTAAAAGAGATCTGCTGCAGTTTGAAGACTTAGCACAGTCACACGCGACGTTCCAACCGAGATACACCGGAATGCCTGGCCTGAATTGGAAAGAGAGAACAATGGAAAGAGCTCTTGTGTGTGTGCTTATCTACTGGGTTTTATGCAAACTGGCAAGGGACAAACCAGGTCCTGGAAAAGGAGACGAGATGTTTAAGACAATATCTATTGAACGAGTCATTTTGGTTGATCAGCACTTTGAAAGGAAGACGTTTCCACCTGTGGACAATCGGCAAGGTTACTAGTAGCCACCAGTCCCTTTCCTATTCATCCTCTCCTAATTCCATATACAAGAGCTATTTATTCAAACTGTCTTTTCTGCTACGCTCCTCACACTAGGCAACCACACACAAAATGGTGAAACAGTTCATCTGGTTTTTCGTATTAGAAATAAAGTTACTAGCTTCAAATGTGATCGTTATTGGTCCCAAACTAAAGAGAGCATACTGACCTATGCAATATTTTACAACGCTGGGGATGTCCCTATTTTCATAAAGCTTGTCTTCTTGCACCACCTCAAACCGCCACTGTCCCACCCTGCCCTCCTCCCTCCCTCCCCACCTGATGCAACTTGGTTTGGTGAAATGAGCGCTAGAAAACTCAGAACAGGCATGCGAGACATAAGCAAGCCATTAAAAACAATTTCTCTCTCACCCGCTCTGACATTCCACAAGACGAAGGATACTTCCTTGCCATAAAGCCACTTCTACCTCTCACATTTAAGAAAATTTACTTCCAAAAGGGTACGCTGTTAGAAGACCAAAGAGTCCACCTTCTCATTGAGGTCAACCTCCAAGGAACAAGTAAGCTGATCCAAACACCAACTTTCCTTTCCCTTCTCTCACGCTTCCTATTTCATTTTATGCTAAATGGTCGATAACCGATTCTTTTTTTTTTTTTTTCTATTTACACGGCATGTATGAACTCGTCGTAACATTCCTGAGATCAGCGAAAGCATTAAGAAGCAGAACACGGCGTGCTGAATCAGAGTGGAAATTAAGAAAACCAAGTAAAGAAAGCTTGTGGTGATTAATGAGTCCCTTTTGGCAGTCGGCTTGTGGGCAAAGTGATAACGTGGACAATGTCAGTTGGAAAGTAAACAGATACGTCATTACCAAAGTACCTGCTGGGAGATGTTTCACCAAAGGAGCCAGCCAAAATGGTTTTAGCCAATTGAAAACCAGTCCTTCAGGAGTGTTATTACTTAAATATCCTAAAAATACTAATAAGGAGGTGCACGGATTCAGTGACTGGTTAGTATGCATCTTTCTAGCCCAGTGTTTCCCAAACTTGACAATTTTAAGGCATGTGGAATTCTGGGAGTTGAAGTCCACATGCCTTAAAATTGTCAAGTTTGGGAAACACTGTTCTAGCCCTTTTTCTTAGAAGACGTTTTCATTCTGTCACTTTAACAGTCTGAGCAGAAACGAAAAACAAGACATCGCTCTGGCTTAATGTTAGGTACTCAGTAGCCAAATACCTCCCAAAGAAGTTCACGGCAAAGCCAACATTGGTCAATACTGTCAACGCTTGAAAAATATGTAAGATTTTTTTTTTCCTTTTTTTCAGTTTAAGAAGAGTTTTGCCTTAAAAATGGTCAGGTGCAAAGAGTTTCCTCATACGAAAAGAGATGACCGTTTAACGCACATAGCCTGTTCTAAGAAAAGATATAAATATTAATCACACATGCACACGTCTAGGTCTCGGTGGAGAAGTAACGAAGATGGCTACAAAAAAAAAGGTGAATTAAATACAGGTATTAAATGTTACACAGTGCAAAAATGCCGAGATGAAGCACACAAAGCAATGGCTGCAATCCTTACAACAATTAGTTTTTCTTTTCTTTTTGTTTTTAAATAGTAAGAAGTTTCCTGAGTCTGGACTTAAAGTTCACGGTATATAACTCGAGTCTGTGTGTTTTGTGTCGGTGGGGGTGCAGGTATTCGGTTTCTGTTGGCCTTTACTCGTAGTCTTGTCTAATGTCCATTCCTCGTTGTCAAGAACCAACTCTGCTTGCTCGGGCGCTTGTGCTTCTGCTTCCTCCTCCTCCTCTTCCTCCTCCTCGCTCTGCTCCGCGTTCTCGTCTTCTGCCCCGCTGAGGGTCTTTCCAAGCTGAAGGGTTTCCATAGTCCGTTGAGTCTCCGAGACCCACGATTCAATTCTGCTGTTGAGCTGAACTTCCTCCGAGATGGGTTCGTGAGCGTAGTCCTCTTCCTCCTCCTCCTCCTCTTCCTCCTCCTCGTCTTCTTCAAGCATCCCTGGCACTAGAGTACTGGTTGTACTGGTCATGGAAGAATTCAAAATGTCCCGGCAGCTGCCATCTAAAGACCCGGTGTCTGTGCTTTGCTGGGAGGCCCACTCCAGGTTGTCATCTGGCTTCACTTCCTCCTTCCCACTTAGTGGTTTACCGGGGGAGGCCACCGTGACGAGGCCAACAGCGGCTAGAGACAAAGGCTTACCGGCAGCAGCATTAGGCTTGCCAGGTTTTTCGGAAGCTGCAACAACCTTGCACGCCGCTTCTCTTTCGTTTTCAGAGGCTTCCAAACCATCTGAGGTTTCCACCATGTTCCTCCAATTGGTTTCTGGTGGAAAGAAAGGCAGAATGTTTGGCGAAAGGCTATAAAACAACAGGAGAAGCACGCTTCCATTTTAAATAAGCTGCTGAGCACATCTAGGTAGCACAGTGGTTCTCCACCTTTTTAATGCCGCGACCCCCCCCCCAACCGGTCGTAAGTCGAGGACTACTCAACCGGTCGTAAGTCGAGGACTACTCGACGGGTGCAGCACCGTTTGCAGAATGGGACTTTTGGCAGGCTCAGCAGGGCAGAGACAGCCTGGACAATTCCTATTGGCTTTTGAAAGCCAATAGAATTAGACTCTATTCAAGAGAGTCTATTCTACTGGCTTTCAAAAGCCAATAAAATAAAAGGGAGTAGCACAGCCAAGGAAAAGGGGGGAAAAATGGCAGACTGCGTTGTTTGGCGACCCCCGTGAAATGGTCGTTCGGCCCCAAATGGGGTCCCGACCCACAGGTTGAGAACCACTGAGGTAGCATCATCTCCCTTTGAGGAAAAGCTTTGAACAATACAGTTACTGAAGTGCCGTTATAGGTCACAAAAGCAAAGAATTGTTTCCAGTGTGGTGTGGTTGACAGTACTGAACCCAAATTCTGTGCATTGTGAGCCAAGTGCTTAATGCTGAAAAATAATATAACTGAGGCTATTGTCCAGTTAAGCATTTTAAATGCTAATAATTAAAATGTTAAAAGAAAAAGGCTTCTGTCCATAGAAACCTAAGAATGAAAGGGGATGGGAAGATGCAATTCTAAGAATGCGAACTATTGCTTCCAGGAAGAAAACTGTATGTGAAAATAGACAAATTATTTTAGCCTAGGAGCGCGTCACTATTTGTTTCCAAATCAGCAACCACATACTGAAGACCATTTGAAAGAAAGCTATGGTGTGATACCCCACTGCTCCTTAATTGTTTTAATCCTTCTGATCTTAATGTTTTTAGCCTTCTATTTTATTGCTTTAATTTTTTTTTTGTTTTTTTGTTTTTATTCTCAGACTACAAATTGCTCTGGAAGCTTGTTGAGACTGCTTTATGAGACTGCAATACCCTATGGGCCTTGCATTCCAAAGATTAAAAAAAGAAAACCTTACTAAATAACATTTTCAGATTTAAGCAGCTGATGGAACACAGAGCCAGTTTAATCCGCCTAAAACGAAAGCTTACATTTCAATATTCCAAGCAAGGATGTCGGCAAGGGAGAGGGTCCGAAAGTTAAAGGGGTGGCCCCACCTGTGTGATCAAGCCCCACCCTCTTTATTACAAGTGCCATAAGAGACATATGTAAAAATGGGACAAGGCTCAGTCACGCAAATGACTTCTCTACCCCCTCTCCTTTCTCTTACACACTCCTGACTCCAAAGACCAGAAATTCACGCCAGGGTTGTCCTATCTCAAAGGGGCCTCAACTATGGCCCCTTTACGACCAGTGGACTTCAGCTCCCAGAATGCTGGCTCAGGAATTCTGGGAGTTGAAGTCCACAGGTTATAAAGGGGCCACCGTTGCCCACCCCTGGCGGACTCTATGATATCTAGTATCAGACACATGAATAGAATAGAATAGAATGGAATGGAATGGAATAGAATATAACGAGAATAGAATAGAATAGAAAATAGAATAGAATCTGGAAGAGACTTTGGAGGTCTTCTAGTCCAGCCCCCTGCTCAAGCAGGAGAACCTATACCGTCTCGGACAGGGGAATGTCCAGTCTCTTCTTTAAAATCTCCAGTGATGGAGCGCCTACGATTTCTGGGGGTAAGCTGTTCCACTGGTTGATTGTCCTCACTATCGAAACAGACTAAACCAGTGGTTCTCAACCTGTGGGTCGGGACCCCATTTGGGGTCGAACGACCATTTCACGGGGGTCGCCAAACAACGCAGTCTGCCATTTTTCCCCCTTTTCCTTAGCTGTGCTACTCCCTTTTATTCTATTGGCTTTGAAAGCCAATAGAATAGACTCTCTTGAATAGAGTCTAATTCTATTGGCTTTCAAAAGCCAATAGGAATTGTCCAGGGTGTCTCTGCCCTGCTGAGCCCGCCAAAAGTCCCATTCTGCAAACGGTGCTGCACCAGTTGAGTAGTCCTCGACTTACGACCGGTTGAGTAGTCCTCGACTTACGACCGGTTGGGGATCGCGGCATTAAAAAGGTTGAGAACCACTGGACTAAACACACTATCCAGCCTGCCAGACTGTAGGAGATGGTTAACATTCCGAGAAGGTTATAAAGTAAATTTGGTCAAGAGATAAAACACACGGTTACCATTATAAAAGACAATCCAACTACGAACTAAGGGAAGACTAGATCAAGTCGTGTCTGAAAGCGCAAGAATAAACATGACTCTGAAATGTATGCTTACCATACTCCTTCTCGTTCACCTCTGAAATTGGCTCTGAAATCACGCTGCAGAACGAAATGGCGCTGGCTGCCGAAGGGTTCCGGGAATGCCCCATGTGGTGGGGCACCTTCTTGATGTTCTTCAAGGCCTCCTCCTGCTCTTGCTCCATGGCTGAAACCATATCTCGGTAGGCTTTCCTGGCCTCTTCCGTCAGAGAGACCAGTTTGTTAAAGAGGTTCTAGAAGACAAAGAGCCCCCTGAGAGAAGGAAAACTACCACCAGAGGCTTCCAGGTGGTTTGCATGGCTTTCTCGGAAGGTTTCCTGTTTGTTTTCCCCTTAAGCGTTATTCATACAATGCACAAAAAAAGGTACAAATAGAACTGTTTTAGGATTTAAATACCGTATTTTCCGGCGTATAAGACGACTTTCTAAACCCTGAAAAACTTCTCAAAAGTCGGGGGTCATCTAATACGCAGGAATATACGGGTAGCTGTTCTCTGAATTTAAAACCAATCTGCCCCCTAGTGGCCAGCCCTATTTTTTCTACAGAAATAAGCACTAACAAGACAAAGCTTTCTAGCAGCAAAGGAGCTCCTATTGTGCTCATCTATAAACAGAAATTCAATATTGTACTGTATTTTCTGGCGTATGACTTTCTAAACCCTGAAAATCTTCTCAAAAGTTGGGGGTCGTCTTATACGCCCAGTCACCTTATACGCCGGAATATACGGTATTTATATCCCACCTTTGATATTTTTATAAATTACTCAAGGCAGCAAACACACACAATACTCCTTCCTACTCCTATTTTCCCCACAACAACAACCCTGTGGTGGACTGGGCTGGGAGGGACCGGCCCAACACCATCCAGCTGGCTTTCATGGCTAGGCGGGTCTAGAACTCAAGGTGTCCTGGTGAATGGTCCAAAATCACCCAGCCGGCTTCCATGCCTAAGGCCGGACTAGAACTCACAGTCTCCTGGTGCCTTAACCACTAGACCAAACTGGCTCTATATAAATATATTTAAAAAATGCACATAGATGTACCCCTCTGATTACATCAGGGTTGGAAAAGTCAGCTTTTGTTTTATTTTTTTCTTTAAAAAAAAATAGAATATATCATAGTTGTGTGCATGGAAACGAGTATGAGCACCAAACCCACTTGAAAGATTTGGGAAGAAACACAACCCACCCAAATGGCAGATACAGATGAGGTAACTTGAGTCACTTTAAAAGATAGGAAATGAATGAATTTATTTTTTCAGGCATCATTGGATGTGTTAGGGGTGCCGTGGACAATGAACTCCGTCCTTCCGGAGTTGACTGAGAAGCTCTTACCTCAGCGCCTGAAAAATTGAAGATGCCCACCACGCTGACAGGAACTAACTTGTTCACACAGCGGCCAAGCGCTTTGCGTCCGAGGGCAAAGACAAAAGGGATTTCTTGTTCCCGAGCCATGGCGATCACGTTATACAAAGCTTCGTCTAGTCCACCTTGAGGGACGTCAAGGGGAAAAAAAAAAAAGATGAAGAACTCCCTCACAATGAGTCAGATGTAAATGCACTAATTTTATTTATCTATTAAACAGTCTAAACCAGGGGTCTTCAAACTTGGCCCTTTTATGACTTGTGGACTTCAACTCCCAGAATTCCTCAGCCAGCGTGCCTGCCTAAGGAGTTCTGGGACTTGAAGTTCACAAGTCGTAAAAGGGCCAAGTTTGAAGCCCTCTGGTCTAAACCACCCAAAAGCTGAAGTTCTTTGGGCAGTTTCCAGTAAAATTTGACTGTGTTAGTCCAACAAAAATCACACAGAAATTGTACGCATGCAAAACATGCAAACCAGATGAATTTGAAGCTGCCTAAAAAACAAAGTAGCAATAGCAATAGCACTTAGACTTATATACCGCTTCGCAGTGCTTTACAGCCCTCTCTAAGCAGTTTACAGAGTCAGCCTATTGCCCCCAACAATCTGGGTCCTCATTTTACCGACCTCAAGGATGGAAAGCTGAGTCAACCTTGAGCCAGTGAGACTCGAACTGCTGAAAGTCAGCAGAATTATCCTGCAATACTGCATTCTAACCACTGGGCCACCACCGTTATCAGCAAACACTTCACTAATGTGAAGGTACCTCAAATATATCAAATATTGAACTCTGGAATTGAATTTGATTCCTTAAGACAGTGTTTCTCAACCTTGGCAACTTTAAGATGTGTGGATTTCAAGGCCCAGAATTCTCCAGCCAACATTGTTGGTGGGGAATTCTGTGAAATTCTTAGATCATGTATGAACCTTTTGGGGGGGGGGGAGGTCAGTAATATGAAATTTGTTGCCATGGTCTTCTTCCAGAATGTTTTTTTTTTTTTAATTCCCAATATAGGCTACAGTCCTGAGAGTGTTGATGATTTCTCCATCCAAGCAATAAGCAATTCTGACTTCATTTAGTCTTGGGGATCCATCATGATCATAGTCAGGTGCTGCCATCTGCTGTAGCCCATAAACATCTACCCTGCTGCAAATAATATTTGCTGATGCATAATATGTGGAAGAGCCTAAATGTCATCTCCAGGAAATGAAAATCACCATTTGTAACTCAAGGGCACCATCTACAGCCAGGCAGAAAAGGGAAATGCTGTTTCCCAGTTTCAAAATGCTGCTTGTTCAATGGCGAGATAATCAATTGTTCTTACTAGAGAACTTCATAGTTCAAAAGCCTGAGGTAGACAATTACTTAAAAGAGAGTAGTCTCAAATAGAATTGTCTTTCCCTGTTCCCCCCCCCCCTCCAGAAATGCATGAATGTTTTAATATCTGCCCATTTGCTTCTCTGCAACTGCAGAACCTGTGCCACACAAAAAAACGTCCCTCATAGCCTTCTTTATCTCCTGGGGGAACTCCTTGAGAAGGTAAAAGCTGCAACACAAAGAGCTAAGGCCTGCTCAGTGATCTAGGGGGCATGTCCCTAGATCACTGAGCAGCCCTTAGCTCTTTGTGTTGCAGCTTCTGTATATTACCTTCTGTCATATACAGAAGACAGCAATCGGGACAGAAACACCAAAATAATCCTATGTTAAAAAGGAAAGTGGTTCAGAGAAGATACCCTGTAAGAGTCATGTGTACCTTTGGATTGAATCTTCTCACAGTTGGGAGAAATAATGACACACTTGATCTTGCTTAACTTCATGTGCTTGGTAACCTCCCGCAGCCCCATCACAAGTCTCCTCTTCGCTTTGGCTTTTATAGGATCCTTCTGATAAATTCGCTCTTGGAAGCTGACAAGCTCTTGTAACAGGAGAGTCACACATTCATCAATTTCTTTACTCAGAACTTGATTGCAGTACCTGCACGTTCAGGACGGGAGCAAAAAGACACATTTCAGCAATGCTGATTGGCAACTATTATGTTGGGGAAAAAAAGCGTACATCCTTTTTCAAGTTTCTCTTTCTGAAACTATTTTAATCCCACCAGCCATAAATTGAGAGCCGTGACTAAAAAAGTACAGGTGTGAGTATGTTTAAGAGCTCTGCATTGTTAGCTGTGTTTCTTACAGACTAAGTACTGCCTATATATTCCTTCTTTGCTTAAACTCTTTCTTAGCCTCCCTATGCTCCGTACTATTTGAAACGTATTTTATTCCCAGTGTTTTCCAAAAATAGGGCAATTGTTTTATTTGCAAACCGACTGCATGGATGCTGCAGGAAGCCACATGAAACCACTTCACGGGCCACATTCGGCCCCCAGACCTTGTGTTTGACATGTCTGACTTAAGTTCATTCTACTTAAGCCAATTTGTTTCCTTTGAAAAATCCTATGGAATGTAAAGGTTTTTGTTTTGTTTTTTTTTTAAAAAAAACTTACTCTCTGAATCGTTTGCTGTGAATTTTGGTGATAGTTGACGATGCCATGGGACTTCCTATCCCTGAACTTGCAGGCGAGCCTTGGGAAACGGGAGTCATGCAATAGGGAGAATTCTGGCTTGCTGGAGAGAGCGAGGTGTCACTTGGCACGCTCAGACCAGTTTCTGGAAGAGACAAGACAAAACAAACCAGTCGAACGCTGGTAAAGTTGCAGCATGGAAAATTTATTCAAATGTATACACAAGAATCTTGTTAACTAACGGCCAGCGTTCAATTGGCACTAGATAAGTCACTGGAATTCAGGGGGAGGAGGCAGACTTGATTGGCAACACAAGAACTCTAAACTGATGACGCATTTAACTCCGCCCCCCCAGCTCTGCCTGCTCTTCTCCCACAGGTGGCACTCAAAAGGATGGACTTTGTGTCAAACGTCCTCCATTATTTCTACTTCCATCTCATTATAATCCTTAGAAATACTAAGTTTACATGTCTTTCTTCATAGACCAGTATCAGAAAATCCAAAGGTCCTTTTAAAATCCTCTCCCAGGAAATGAGTTAAGAAAGACGTGTAGCAGATACAGATGTAATGAGTAGAACAGTCACACTCCACCTCTTGTTCGCCAATTTAAAGTCTTGTGTAGGAGAATGTTACCCCATAGATTGCAATAAACTATTTTAGACCATTGTTTCCATGAGCAACTAGATCCAGAAGGTTTCAGGGCAACAGTTAGGGAATTAAAAGCCCACTAAACATGTGTTTGGTTATACAACGGCTATTACACATACTAATACAAAGACATGTATCAGGTTGATCTGACCTTCTTGAGATGTTAGTTCTTCCGCCTGGTTGGAAGTCAGAGTCACCTCCTCCTCCTCCTCACCTCCCAAAAGGCTGTGATCGGTTGATAAACGTCCTTTCTTTTCTTCCCTCTCCTTCAAAATAATCTGAAACAAACCCAATTAGGGTATGGTGAATATTTTTGTCAGCTCGGGAATTCTGGGAGTTGAAGTCCACAGGCCGTCCAGGATGTCACGGTTGCCCACCCCTGATATTGTTAAAGTAGAAGCTCCACTTTAGGAAACCTGTTTACCTTTTTCAGTGCTGTAGGGCGTTTCAACTTTGAGAGTTCTCTCTCTTTCCCTCGTTTTACTTTCGGGCTAGTGGGATCCAAAGGGTTAAGACAACCCACCAATGGCTGCCCTTTGGAGAAGGACTTTCGGCTGGCGGATTCTTTGGTGTGAAAGGGGACTGCACTGCCAACTGAAGATAAAAACAAAAGTGTGCAATGGCTGAATTGATGCTGCTGGAAAAAATGGCTGTTTCCCCTGTGGTTTACTCTCCTCCCACATATCCTCCATTCTCTTTAAAATGCCTTTTCCATCTCTGGAATTAGAAGCAGATTACAACAACAAGGACATTATGCAGTGAGATGCTGCTGTTTGGAGATTATCTGCTGTTCTAAGAAAGTAATCACGGAGAAGACTAGAAACACGCTGAACACCAGGTTTATAAGGATAGGTGATGTTATTCGTATTGGTCAGAAGAACCAAGCTACCCAAAAATTCCTTTAGATAACTTCTTAAAAAAAGACCAAAAAACCTCACAAAGTGTCCTTACAACAGTATTATTAGCGTGGTCCACATCGCAGGATTATGGTCTACAAATCACAATATCCGGAGTTGCGCAATAAGCAGCATTCTGACTTAGCGCCAGGCATGAAATGTCAACCACAATTGCATTCCAAGGGTCAAAGAAACGTTTTGCATGGAGCGTGGCCACCATTTATCCATGGCAAAGGTATCTGGGCTACCGGGTGGTGTCACATTGTACTTCTAAAGCAGAGGTGCCCAACCTTTTGGGCACCAGGAACCGGTTACGCGGAGAGAGGTTTTTCCGCGGATCGGAGGGTGCGTGGTTTTGTATGCCGCCTGCGTTTCGCGGATGGGGTTTTGCTTGTTTGTGCGGACCGGTTGCTGGCATGCCGTGGCCCAGTACTGGTCCACGGACCAGGGGTTAAGGACCCCTGTTCTAAAGGATTCCTGACCAAAGGAGGCAATGCAGTTATTACACTGGTTCTTTCTGATGGAAGAGATGCTGGAGAATTGCGCAGCTACCAAGAGCGGGGAAGCGAGACATACCAACCTGTGTACGAGAGCGGTCTGGTGTTTGTGATCTGCCGAGCCTTCATTGCCTGCTGCTGTTTTTCAAGCGCTGCCAGCATGTCCCCCAGGTCTAACTGCACAGGAGTTTTACTCTTCTTCCCAGCTGCTTTTGAAACGGCTTCCTAGACGCGGGATGACAAATGTGATCAGTTATTTCCAGTGGCCAAAGTGGTCGTCTCAACCAGGTCGCCTGGCTTCTATAGTGTCTGAGCCTGTTCTGTTCTTTTGACCATTAAAAAAAAGGGGGCGAGGGTGAGGCTAGCAGTGAATGTTACTATAGGAGCAGACTCATTAAGGAATCTATACAGGTGGTCCTTGACTTGCAACCACAATTGAGGCCCAAGGTTTATGTGGTTAAGCAAGACATTTGTTGAGTGAGTTTTGCCCCATTTTACAACTTTTCTTGCCACAGTTGTTAAGTGAATTGCTTCAGTTGTTAGGTTAGTACAGAGTGATGAAGTGAATCTGGCTTCCCCATTGACTTTGCTTGTCAGAAGCTCACAAGAGGGAATCACATGACCCCGGGACATGGCAACCGTCGCAAATATGAATCAGTTGTCAAGCGTTCAAATTTTGACCAAGGGGCTGTTGCAGCGATCATTTGTGACAAACAGTCACAAATCACTTTCTTCAATGCTTTGGTCACTAAATGAGGACTACCCGAGCTATGATAAATAGAAAAGATTACAAACTTTGAAAAGGAGGTGTAGCATTTCATTTACTGCAGGAAACCTCCCTGCAGGATTACCAGGCACAGGAGTAACATGGTTTAGGGACCTGCATTCAACCTTTTCCAGCCTCAAACACTGCAATCTGTCCACCTAGATCAGGGGTAGGCAACCTTGGCTCTTTTATGACTCAGCTGGCTCAGGAATTCTGGGAGTTGAAGTCCACGAGTCATAAAAGAGCCAAGGTTGCCTACCCCTGACCTAGATTGACATCCAGAATGCATTTCAATTATACTATTAAAACAGACCTGAAGCTTTCTCTGCTCCATACTGATTTCAGAATATTCTTGGGCGGTAGCCAACGCTGCTGCGAGAGCTTTCTTCTTTTGACTTTTGGCTCTTTTGGGAACAGAGGTGGTGATCGGAATCGGAGTCTGTACTATGTTGATTGGAGAATTTTCAGGAAGACCATCCAACTAGCGGAAAAGGATATGGTGAGAAGTATAACGGGGATGCAGTGTTGAAAAGAGATACAGCATGAACTGCAGCTCTGTTTTCTTAGAGCTGATCTAGCTCCTTTATCTAGGTCATGGGTCGGCAACCCGCAGCTCCGGAGCCGCCATGTGGCTCTTTGAGCCTTCTCCTGCAGCTCCCAGCCTCCTCCGCCATTTGCAGAGAGAGAGACAGAGACAGGCACTTGCGCTTCCCTTCTCTCTCTCTCTCTCTCTGCATGTGTGTGTATAAAAAAGAGAGTGGCCTCACGCTGTCCTCTGACAAGCATATTGGGCGGGGCTCCTCCCTTTGCTGTGTCTCAGCAGGAAGCAGCAGAAAGCAGGAAGCAGCAGCTCTCTCTCTCTCTCTCTCTCTCTCTCTCTCTCTCTCTCTCTCTCTCTCTCTCTCACACACACACACACACACACACACACACACACACAGTGAGTGGGGGAAGAGGACTGGCAGATCAAGGGCAGGAGAGAGCTAGACCAATAAGAATATGTGTCAGCTTGTTGGAGGACAGTGTGAAGCCAGCTTGCCAGGTGAGCAGAAGATCGGAGGGAGGGAGGGAGGGAGGGAGAGAGAGAGAGAGAGAGAGAGAGAGAGAACTCATGCACAGCAGCCTTTATTTCTTTTTAATTAAACTCTTCAATTAAGTTTTCTCCTTCCTGCGCGCATGCGCACAACTTTTGCGGCTCCCAGTGTTTTCTTTTCTCTGGGAAACGGGTCCAAGTGACTCTTTGAGTGTTTAAGGTTGCCAACCCCTGATCTAGGTCAACATAGTGTTTTTCCTAACTGAATGGTCAGTTTTGTGTACACAATCCCATAAGATGCTGCAATAAAGCTAGAATTTGAATTGTAATATACAATTGTCCACTAACAGTCTCCAATTATACTTAAAATCTTATTTAACCTAATACAATTCTTAATTTAGAGGCACTCCAAATCGGCAACCACGATTTCATTGAGAAAGACTGCAGGTTCTTGATTCTGGTTTGTGCTGCACGCAAATGGGTTTCTGAGCACTTCCCCAAATATGCACATAGTTAAGGTATGGTAAAGTCTCGCTGGCTAAACTCACTGCCTGGTTACTACATTCACATGTCTGTGGGATTTGGGGTTGCTACAGAATGCTCACTCCTGATATTGTCTGTGGTCTCCCAGCCAAATACAGTAGTAATCTGCTTTAAATTGAAAATCCGGATCTTAAGAAATCAAATATTATGTTCTTCACAATACCAGTCTATGCTTTTTTGCATTCCCAAGGAACAGTTCCGCTCACTTTTATTGCTCATTAAAAATCAGCCACCATATATTGAAAAGAAAAATAACATCAAGAGTTCAATCCCCCAAATATTATAATGTCACTTACCATTTTGGGTGCATGCTTCAGCTGCATGTTATTAACTTTAGAATGTCCACTATCGCAATTTAGCTCTGGGAATTCTTCTTCATCCTGACCAAAAATTTTGGAAAATTCATGAACTGCAATTCACAGGACAAAATATCTGTATTTTGCAGGAAAGCATTACTCAGCTAGCAATTGGTGGAAAGTGGCAAATGCATATGAATAGTACCAAGAGGGATAAACGTGAAACTATATTGGAATTTGCAGGAAATATATTGTTATCACATGCCAGGATATATTGAAATCAAATTGAAAAATGTTACTAGTAATTTGAAGAATAGTTTTTAATGTTTAAAATCAGCAAGCGGGGCACAGTAAAATGTAGCAATCAATCAATTCAAAATCTCCATTTGTCTTAGTGAATTAAAGCTGTCATAAACAAGATTAATGAAAGAGTTACCCCAAAATATAGCAGTGCAGGGCTCTGCTCTACTTTGTTTGACTGGCTTGTGATTACTGGTTTCTCAATTTTCTTCTGCAAACTCTGTTTCCTTTCGGAAGATGTGCTGTGACCTCTATATTTAAAACCAGGCTATACAAGCAAATAAAAACAAACATATTAGGACTGTCCTTTTAAATCGCAGTATGAAAGCGCCCATGTAAATCACAAAGTATGCGGTAGCTATCTTGTCTGCCAGGTGAAAATCTAACTATCTATGTCAAGGCTCCGCAACCTTGGCAACTTTAAGACCTGTGGACTTCAACTCCCAGAATCCCTAGCTACTATGGCTGGCTGGGGAATTCTGGGAATGAAGTCCACAGGTCTTAAAGTTGCCACGGTTGGGGACCCATGATCTACGTGATTGTAGAAATGTAATAATGACAACAAAAAGTTGAACAATCTTTACAGAATAGAGCAGAGTAAATGGAGTGGCATTACAAAAAGTTAAAATACTAATTCATGCAGTCAATATTTCTTCAGCTTATTCGTATTCCATATGCTTAAACCCAGTTTAATAGGAAACTAATTCAATAAAATTGACATGTTCAACAATGGATGCAGATTGCCAATGAATTCTACAATCATTTTTCAGCAGAGATGTACGAACGAAAGAATATACTAATAGCTGGAGAATTTCATTTCGCTAATAAAACTCTGCAAAGGAAAAGCAAATTTCTTTCTAGTGTAAAAATGCATTAACCCGAAGTTTTATAAACTTACTGATTAATGGATTCTGCAGCAATCTATTTTTCAGCTCTACATAGTTGCAATCTGAGCTAGAAGTTCCTAAAATCTTGGAAATGGTAAGAATGTGTGGAGTATAGTGCTTTCAGACTGAAGATTGATGCAACAGAGCGTCTCACTAAGTATTCAACAGAACGTTGCTCCCAGTATTTTTCTATTTGAAAAGAACGCTTGAAGTAGATTGGTGGAAACTCTACCTCTGAATCATGCTGATGTTCAGGCTGCAGTCCACCTCTGCAGAAAGAGTTTCTCTCTATCCAAGGCTTCTTCTGAGTGGCTTGTGAAGTGACACTCGCCCAGCTGGCACCAACTTAGAAAAGCATCACAGATGTTTAGGGAAAGATAACATGTGCAAAAGAAAAACATGTAATGAATACACGTTACATTTTTTAAACACAGAAAAAAAAAACCTCCACATCTTTAAGCAAACCAACTAGATGTTGGATCTAACCAGCCTGCATGTTCACGTCATTAGCTTTGTCTGTTTATATGGTTACATCACAAGAAATTCAGAGCAGTCTGTCTGCAACTTTTCCTTCTTTAAAGACACTGAGCAATCTTGAAATATACAGTATATGGTAGCTACCATTCTCATTTGCTCTTCATATAGGATGTATTTTATTTCTAGCTGAACAGATTTCTATTTCTGTTTTAATTTTTAGCATAAGGGTACAAGAAGGATCTCAACTTATTTGCAATCTTTAAGGACTAATCAATGCAGTCATGGAAAATGTGACCCGAGGGGGGGGAATGGAAGAGGAGGCAGACGACCGGGAACTACTAAAATGTTAATTACTAAATGATTTTTAAAAAAGCAGTATGCTGACACTATTCACAAAATATTTTGAGGAGAAAAAAGCTGGACACATTCAGAAACAAACCCACAGTATTTACACACACTGCAATGTGGAAAAGATTAAGGGTGTAGACTTTAATCAGCTAAAGGTGTAAAGGCGTCATCAGTTAAAGTGACAACATGTATCCATCACACATGGACACGGACCCACAAAATAATGCTGCAAACTTGCAAAGCCAGGGAACTTTACCTGGGTGTATGGATGATTCTTTGATCTAAAAATAAGAAAAAAAAAGTTGGAGAGGTTACTTTACATAGGCGTATTTAATATCACTTCCCACTCTTGCACTTTTCCGGTGTCTACCTACGTTTGTTCCGGCCGATTCAGCGTTTCTGGATGTCACTACTCCTGCTTGGTTGCTGTGCTTGGGACTGCAATAGCCGCTGTCACTATCAATATCGGCTTCGCTCGCCCCCTGCTCGCTCGAGGACTCGGCAGGGTGGGAGGCGCGTCGTCGCCGGCCCCTCGGCTTCCAGTGCAGACCACTCACACTCTCCGAGAGGGACTTGCTGGCAATCTCTGAAGGGAAGTCTGCGAGTCAAAGGAGAGTCTCAAGAACTGACAAGGGTTTAACGCAGGGGCGTCCAACTTTGGGAACTTCCAAGACTTGTGGACTTCAACTTCCAGAATTCCCAGCCAGTTAAGTTCCCGAGGTTGGACACCCCTGGTTCTGGGGACTTCTGGGAGTTGGAAGTCCACAAGTCTTAATGTTCCCAAGGTTGGACACTCCTGCTTTAATGGGCAACTTCATTCTTGAGAAAGCATGTGTTGATGGCCACCTGGACAAAGTTAGAGAAATGCCATTGAATTGGATTTCACTGTTATTCCTTTTTTAAATTTTTTTAATGATTTCTCCTCTTACTGGAAGAATCAAGTGACTTCTGTTTTATACAAGGCTCAGGGTACCAATGGTGATTTCTGAACATTAAATAATACAGGTGAAAAACAGTACCTTTCTTTTGTGTGTGTTGCTATGTAAGACTGAACAAAGAGTACAAGCAGCATAATAATAAGTCATTAAGTCACTCTGGATGGTGAGTTGGGCAACAAGCAAATTTTACAAAATAAAAATGCAAGTAAAACAACCGTTTTGAAGTATCATAGTTTGACTGAAACACTGTTCACAGCCCTGGTGCAGAAGGGTGATCTAGTCATCAAAACAAGCTTTTCTTTCTTAAAAATAACATTTCAAATTGTATAAGAAAAAAAGATCTGCTATAGTGTAAAAACTCAACACATTACTGCCATACCTGTTTGCTGACAAGCATCCACCAATAGGACAATTTTGGGTCTGTTCTCTGGGCCCGAAGAATTTGTTTCCTTCTGGATAGCAACACTTTTCACTGGAGGCCTTTTGCTCTTTATGTGGGGTTGAGATGGCTGCTGCCGATTGAAAGAATAGCCCAGCAAACAGATAAAGCTAATTGACCTGACTTAGGCAATATATATATAGAGAGATATATATCATAAAAATATATGAAGAGCAACAATCATATATCTCTAGTCATTACCTTCTTACATCTGAATTAGTTTATGGAATATTAGTCTATCTGCTCCCATTTTTTTAGTCTTCTAAAAGGTCTTGAAGACTTGGCCGTGTCAACTTGCCTGGGGTCCCAGTGGGAACGTAGCACTTTGGAGTAGATAACGTAGCACTAATAGAGTAGATAACTCCCCTCCCCCCACGCACACACACCTGCCTTTGTGTACTTGGCTTCCTATCCCTCTACGTATAATAATGTACCCAGCAGTACATTTGGGCTCGACTTGCTATTTCTCACTGGTGGGTTGTTAAGTTTGTTGGAAATGCAAAGGATCTTACTTTTTGCACCACCGATCCTCTGCTGGTACTTCTGCTCCTGGGGCTACACAACGGAAAGGCCTGGCTTGGTTGGGCCGGACGATCCGTGCATTGTGCTGTGACTGTGTTTATGGCACTTGCAGGCTGAAAGGGCGCAGAGTAAGGTGTTGGGAAGGGATGATAGAATCCCATGACTTGAGTACAAGGTGCCGGCATCAGTTGGTAATATGTATACTCGCTGGAAACTGGTGGCTGAGTAGATATAATGGGATAAGCCAGATACGGCCCGGCGGGGTTTGTGTTTGGCTGCTGCCACCTGATGTCATTATTGTACAGTGGAAGTTGTCTGAAATAAATGAAACAAAAAATCCAAGTTAGGTCTGCAATTATTTTTTATAAAATCAGTTTAAAGCAAGGGTATCCAACCTTGCCAACTTTAAGACTAATGGATTTCCAGGATTACCTAGCCAGAATTCTCAATATTTTCTCAATATTTTTTTCTAAATCTTCCTTTAATTTTGCCTACCTTCGGTGTACTAAAAATTCTAATAAAAACGGGGGGGGGGGGAATAAAGGCAATGCCAATGCTAGAATTTTATTGTTACAGTGTATAACCTCAGAAACATGAAAGCGTGCCAGGGTTTCTCTCTGCTCCCTTTTCTACTATTAATGATCAAGACAAAAGGGTTTTAAGACCCTTTCTCAAAATAAATAATTGTGTTCTCCAACTACATGGTGTAACAGTCACGCAACTCAGAAGAAAGCCCCAATGTGTTCAATGCAGGTCCAAACAACAACAAATATGCATCATTTTTAGACACCCCCCCCCAACATTTCAGAAAGCAAGACAAATTAAATTATCCTGGTCTAAACAGAGATATACTGTAAAGCACCACAGTAAAACCAGAAATAGAAATAAAAAATAATCTTGTACTGGTTTTCTAACGTATAGATTTAATTACCTGTTGGACTGGTTTTCTTGAACGAAGGGGTAGCATGTAATCAGGTAGCTGGGAATCGGAGTGGCCTCAACGCCACTGATGTTCCCGCCATCATTAGGCAGCGCCATTGGCATCACCAGTGAATCGGGCCCCTTCTTCTGCGGAATGAACGGTTCCACTTCAGCAGACAATTTCACGTTCTTAAAGGGAAAAACAAAATGAACAGGATTCTCCGTACATAAATGGGTCATAGGGATTCATCGGCATGTTAAGCTTTTAAGTTCGCTGTTTGTTAAATCTAAGCAATTTATTTAAGCTAAATGAGTCCATTTGAGATCTCTTATCGTCACAGGACACTTATTTTGCAATTTAGCAACAGGTACTACCTAAATCAGGCTTTGGTTTTGACAGAGGGTTTAGTACAGACATGTCAAACACAAGGCTCGGGGGGCCAGACACGGCCCACAAAGTGGTTTCATGTGGCCCACAAAGCCATCCTGGAAACAGTGAGGGAACGGCCCCCGCTGCCCTGGCCCTTCAACTTACGACCACAATTTTTTTTTTGTTGCTGAGACATCTGTTAAGTGAATTTTGTGACCTTTCTTGCCACATTTGCTAAGTGAATCACTGAAGTTAATTTAATAATAGGGCTGTTAAAGTGAATCTGGCTTCCCTATTGACTTTGCTCACCAGAACGGCGCAAAAGGGGATCACGTGATCCCGGGACACTGCAATCGTCATAAATATGAGTCAGTTGCTAAGTGCCTGAACTTTGATCATGTAACCATGGGAATGCCACAACTGTCATGTGAAAAACGGCCACGAGTCCCTTTTTTTCAACTTTGAATGATCACTAAACAAACTACTGTAAGTCAAGGACTACCTGTAATTTGACAGAAGTGCACTTTGTACGCTGCAAATATCGTTTCGGTTTACTGAAACACACAGCAAATCTGACTGCCCAGCAGATCTGCTCCTTTCTCATCAAAAGAATGGCAAGTTACATGCCAGCAGCCTGTACCAAAGATTAAGACCAAAGATTTTTAGCTAAAGAACCATTCAAATTACATTTCCTTCTGTTCGTGTGTACATGTATACCCATGTTAACAGATGGTATCCTCAACTAATCATAGGGAGCGAGTTCACACAGCACTCTTACGATTAATTTTTGGTCAGTTGGATTGCATTTCAGGGTATTCTGCAAACTTAATCATTATGTTCCTTAAGCTAACCAGGGACAATTTATTTTCATATTTAAAAAAGGATTAAAGTTGGAGATGTTCATTATTAATTGTAATCACTTATAATGAAACATTATCCTTAGAAGCCTAATTTTCTTAAAGCTACTATTATAAGCTATCTTACAGTAAGAAATTAATAATGTAAAAATACTGGCTTTTCTTCCTATCTAGCTTTGTACCACAAATACTATTTGTGAAGAGCTTAAACATTTTCCTTCAATTGCTGCCTCCATTTATGGTTGTTCCCAAAACTAAACCTGGCTAACATAAATCTGTGCCCCATTTGGTTAGCATTAGGAGCTGTGGTGGTGCAGTGATTAGAACACTGTATTGCAGGCTAACTCACTGCTCATGGGCAGAATTTGGCCCTGACTCAGTCTTCCATCTTTCCAAGGTCAGTAAAATGAGGACCTAGATTGTTGGGGGCAAAATGCTGACTCTGTAAACCGCTTAGAGAGGGCTGTGAAGCACTGTGAAGCGGTATGTAAGTCTAACTGCTATTGCTGTTTCATTCCAGGAAATGTCTAAAACTGAAAAATATTGTAACTGAATGACTAACCTGATATATAATTTTAGAATCTACTTCAGCAGGAATAGTAACCAGAAAGGTGACAACTATATCGCTTAGGATAACATGCTCAACACCTACATTCAGTCTCACTGAAAGTATAAAAACACTGTGATAAGATTTATTTACACAGAGTAAAAGATGAACCTTCAATGCAGAATGGAAAACTATTTCCTGCATGAAACATAACATTCTAGCTGATTCTCCAGCTGCCTTATGCAAAAACTATATAAAAATTGCTATACAAATCTATTAAACGCATCTATGAAAAACAAAAATAATGGATTCAGTTTTGCTGTTGAGGTTTTAGAAGTAATTTATGACAGTGCAAAATAAATGTCTGTAACAATGTTTTGTAATTTAATTGCCACTTTGATTTTTAAAAAAGGGGACCTAAATTAAAAAGCAGAACTGCAACAATTGTTAACCTTTATTACCTGTAGAGGTTGTAAGCATAATTACTGGGATTAGAAACAAAAAGAAAGGGAGGTAACACTGTAACCAAAATTAAAACCATCAAGTACAAACGTCGTGTACACATTACCAAACATAATCTAAATCTAAAATCTAAAACTGACAACAATCAGATAAGAGGGGAGGATTCAACTAACACCCATAAATCTAAACTTTACCCTAACGTGTGATTACAAGCTTGAAATGTTGTTATTAAGGTTAAGTTACCTTTTGTTTTTGTTTCAACATCTGCATACTAAGCGACTTACAATGCAATAGTAATTTCCCTGGCTTTGATGCTTCTTCAGAGATTCTTCTATACACACAGCTCCCTCTCTTTGAGGGAGATGGGCAGCTCAGAAATAAAAAAAATAAAATAAAATGTACCGGCAGTTCTCAATTTACAACCGTTAAGTGGGACCAGAATTCCCGTTGCTAACCAAGGTGGTGGTTCAGCAAGTCGCACTCGATTTTATGACTTTTTTTGTTACGATTCAGCCAATCACTGCTGTTGCTAATTGAATCACACAGTCATTAATTTAATTGCCAATTCAAATTTAAAAAGGGCTTCTTTCACTGACTCTGCTTGTTAGAAGCTGACTAGGAAAGTCAGAAATGGTGATCACATAACTGCAGGATGCTGCAACCTTCTTACGTACATGTTGGCTGTCAAACACCCAAATTTGGATCGTGTGACTGTGGGGATGCTGTGACAGTTGTTAAGTGCGAGTACTGGCTGTAAGTCACTTTTTCCAGTACTGCTGCAATTTCAAACAGTTGCTAAATGAATGGTTGATAAGCTACCTGCTGGACCCCATTAAAATAAAGGAAATAGATGGTCTACTCTGTTGCTTGGCCCAAATACTTCCTTTCAGATCGCCGGGTTTCAAGACTTGGCTGGCCTTCATTTTATTCCAATAAATGTAAAACTGTTTATATCTGCCGTGCCCTGCCCAATTTTCCAGCATATTGCGCATAAAGGCCTCTTTGTTTTCTGTGTAAAAGGCACTGTGGTCTTTAGCAGCTGCAGGGACAGAAGATGGCACCAGCAGGAACAGGCTGGTAAAGTTAGGGCACTACAAAGTACAAAAAGACGAGTAATGGATATTTATCCTCACCCAATAAAACAGAAGCCATGCTGTGCCTCGGCCAGAACGGCAATAGCTGAAGGGGCCCAGTGTTAAAAAACATAAGGCAGATGCACACAAGTTATGTTCTGAACCCCAAACGAAGCTGCAGTCACCCTGGCTAGTGACAGGAAAGGATCTGAGCGATGTTTTCTCTTTCAAGAATTTGTAAAATGTCAGTTTTTTGGTTGTTTTTTTAAAAAAAAAAAAAAAACAGGGAGCCTTCTAGGAACAGCTCCACAAGATGTCACACTTTCTGGTTATTTTCAGAGCAGCTTTGGAAAAAAAAAAAACAAAAGCAGCTGTGGCTATAGTTAGAAAACACTAGCCGATATAATGTTAAGATATGGCAGACATGCAAGCTGGTTGGAAGTTAGCAAAGGCAGCGTCGTCATCTTGCATGAGATTCTACCTTAAGAGGCGACAGGTTGAGAAAGGACGTTTTTAAGCAAAGTTTGAGGGGCACAATGTTTGCTGGGAAAAAAAGTTCATTTTACAAAATGAACACACGAGCAAACAATAAACATTATGTTGATCATACTCAAGAGATATGCTGTCGATAAAATGGTAAAATATAAACTTTTTTGACCGGGGTAATCAGAGGGATAATGGAAAAAATTATCATAGTTGTTAAGAAGTTTCTAGAGCAGTGTTTCTCAACCTTTACCAGCTCCTTGGTTGTGGAATTCTGGGAGTTGAAGTCCACCTATCTTCAAGTGGTCACGGTTGAGAAACACTGGTCTAGAGCAGGTGTGTCAAACTCGCGGCGTCGCACGGCATATCGTGACTTTTCCCCCATTGCCGGCAATGGGGTGGGCACAGTTTTGGCATGACGCATCCGGCCTGCAGGCCGACAGTTTGACATGCCTGCTCTAGAGTATATGATATGATTATGAAGTGAGCGAAAAGTGTGTTTACAGCAGTGTTTCTCAACCTTGACAATTTTAAGTCATGTGGACTTCAACTCCCAGAATTCCACAGCCAGCATTGCAGTGTACATAATTGCATTTTTGACAGCTCACATTCATAGCCGTTTGGGGTGTCCTGTGGTCAGATGACTGCAATTTTCAACAGTTTTCATCATTTCTACACTTATGCCCAGTTTCCATTAAAAAAAATGCCCATTGAAGAAAACAGATTCATTTAACAACCATTGTGTTCACTTAACCACCACAAAAAAGACAGTAAAGTCAGGCGTGTTAAATGATGACCCGCTTAATAACTGCCATGACCTACCACCATAATCCAGAGATAAATTATGGTCGTAAGGAGAAACTCCCAACAACTTTAAGGATGCAGTCCTATCCTGGGGATCTGGTACTACAAGACATTTGGGATCAAGGATCTAATTTCAGCCCTGTGTTATACGGAAAATTCGGTATTTGTGCAAAGTTATAGTCTATAAATGCTCTGTCTCCTTTATAACCTTCAGCATTGTAGCTTATTTTTGAAGAAAGCTTTAGAAATCCAACTAGATTTCAGCTGCACCAGGACAAGAACCTGTTTTCTGCAATTCTGGTTTGTATCTAACCAGTTTCATAAAGTGATACTGATTAAAATATATTATAATAGAATATATTGCCCAAAGGACTTATATGCTTCAAGAAGAGATAACGAGCAGGGGAAATTGTATGCTAGGTAAACATACTTTTAAATCATCAGCTTAAACATCTCCTGCAATTTGTTCTCACACGAAACAGGGTGTTTCCAAACAAAGGACAATGTAAGGCACACGTTACATTTTGTAATAATACTAATTTTATTCCTGGACACTAAAGACCACATTATAGATAACATTTGGTTATTTGCTGTCAGTTTTTCAATAACCCTTTTATTAGCCAATCTTTTGTAGGATCAAAGCCTCTTTTTTGAAGGTTATGGGTGCAATCTATCATGCTGACTGCCCTTGTGATTTTTTGATTTTCCAGTCTAAGAATGAGAGAAAGTGAGTGGCCCAAACTCACCCAGCTGGCTTCTGTCTTAAGACAGGAATTCAGTTCATGGTATCCTGGCTTTTAGTCTCCACCAAACTTGTTCTCTCTGTATTTAGTATATTTAATAATCATAAATTATATATCCTCTTTTAAATAAAGAGGCAATAAAAATAGCAGATTTTTCCTATAATTGTAACAACCTGCCATTTATACCTCAACATGTCACAGAATTTAACCACAGATATACCAAGGAAAAACTATAAAATAAAAAGTTAGCTTCCCCATACCGTAAGTTATGCAATCTTTATCCCAACTGTCAGTCCCTAGCAGTCACAGAAAGAAAAACCCAATGTCATTGTAATTATAGGCACATAATTTAGATAAGCTTCATTATAGTCTGTAGACCAATATGATTAGAGCAAATTGCTTGCCAAAAATTGAGAACTTATTTTTCAACATTCAGCTAATAAGAGATAGAGCTAAACTTTGAAGTTTTTTTCCTTCTTTATTTAAAAAAAAAACACTCTACATACACCTCGCATTAATCTGTTAACCGGAAGTATTTTTTTTAATATTATGTTGAGGCTGTCACATAGAAGTAATAGTGTACAAATTAACCCCAATGCTAATTTTATTTCCACAAAATTTGCTTTCAGGTAAATCAAAAGGACTGTAAATACCGGCCACATCAATTCACAAAACAAAATTAGACCAGGACACTTGAATCAAACCAATTTTGTTTGAGGATGTTAGATTAATGGTTCATTATTGGTCATTTTGAACTCTGGCGTTTTTCATTTACTACCACCATTGTTTTAAATTTCAAGGTGACCAATTACAGATAAGAAACTCAAACTTTGATCAGATTCTTATGCTTTTAACCATGTTCCTTAGGTTAACTACTATATAAACCAACATGCTGAGTAAACTAGATCCTCAATTAGCTTGCCCTATTAATCCGGCAAACTCTCTCAGCTGAATAATGGTGGAGCAGTTCCTCTTCCCTATCCCTAACTTCAAAATATGCTTCAGAGGGTTGGCTTCTGCTGCCTGAGGATGAGAGTACTGTAATTAAAGGCTGCACAAAAATAAAAAACTTGACCGGCACTGACTAGTACTGTAGTAGCATACCGTGCATTTCAGAGCATTTTTCCTTAACTTGGCTCTCACCATTTAATCAAATAAAACTTGCCTTCAAACTAAGTATCTCAGCCCCCACGTATTTCTTCTATCACAATCCAAACTCTGTTATGACCATTTGGACATGGGCACCCCCCAAAAAGACACAATACAGCACTCGAAGCAATTGAGGAAATTAGCTTCTGAATTTCATTATAGGGTTTTAAATTCTTAATTAATTCACAAACCTGCCCAGAGTGCTGGATACACATTGCTTTGAATTAGAACTAGTAAACAATTTCCTAAACATTGTAGGAAATGTTGTAGAATACAACATAAACACCTTGTTAACAAAGAAAACAAGAGTACATCTTCTTTAAAACATTATCCTATTAAACAAAGCAATCTTAGCAGGTGATTGGGCTTGGAAATGAAATAGGTCTGGCTAGTCCTTGAGATGAAGACTTAATTTTAAGCTCCAAGGCTGTAGGCTAAAGAGAGAAATCAAAAGAAAAAATGAAGATGGGAATCCACTCCTGTATCACTGCCAGTGAAATCCATTAAATCACCAGAAGTGTATTAACTAGATTTGTAAAGCTTCCAAAGTCAAACAGTGTGACTCTGGGCGTCTTATAATAATAATAAACCAAACTACTGCTCTCAAACTATTTAACATTAAAGCTATACAGCATATAAAAGTATAAAATGGTGATGACCAAGCACCATTAACCATCAACAAAAGGGGACTAAGTGAACAGAGCTGGGGCCTGTGGTCTATCTAGAATGGGTTGGGGATGTTCTATAGAACAAGGGCAACAAAAGCAAAGTACAAGCACAACTTGACTTTACTTTTATGATCTGAATATGCATTATTTACAAGCAACTGCAATTATAAAAATTATGTCATCATTAACCAGGAAGCTTTACATGTATATGGATATGTTGGATGACCTCAGTCCCTTACTAGGCAATCACATTTTATCCTAGCATGTGAGCACAGCCTATGTGCTTTGTTTATGATCCAAAGGATTGTGCAAATGCAGCTGGGTTGACTAAACCAAGGTTAATGACAATAAACAATGTATGTGACCATTGTGAAAGAACTGCCTTACATCAAGCCTGTGAAGGTTCATCTAGCCCGGTGTTAACTACTCATTGTAATGGCCTCTCTAATGTCCCATCTTTGAATTTGAATTCAGACTCCAGTTGGTCTCCTGTGAGCCTGTAGAGATGCTTGAACATACCATCTGCCCAATAACCAGTTCACTAAAGACCTTAGGGATTCAGTCCCACCATCCTGCATTTTCTCATTAACTGTTTTTACTCAAGCTTCCTACTAACTTTTCCAGAGAGCAGATGTTATAATGCGCAAACACTTCCAACACTGACTTCAAATTAAAATGAGAAAATAGCATCAGGCAGGACTATTTTAGAATTGAAAGACGGGTGAAAGTAAGGAACAAAATTAGTTACCACAGGAGACAAAATATTTAACATTCAGGCAAATGTTAATTTTGTAGTTTAATAAATTACACAAATGTGTAATATGCTTTACTAATTCTAGGTGCTATTAAAGGATATATATATATATATATATATATATATATATATATATATATATATATATATATATATATATATATTCTGAGGTTTTTGCAGGTGTTTGTATGTAGGTCTTTGGTTATTCGGGTTTCCTCCCGCATAAAATTGGAAGTGTCTTGGCGACGTTTCGACGAAGTCCCATTCGTCATCTTCAGGCTGGTGTTTTCAGCTTTGTACAAGACACTTCCAATTTGACGCGGGAGAAAACCCGAATAACCAAAGACCTACATACACACACACACACACACACACACAGTCCTTAGAGTGAGAATCATGTGGGGTTTTTTTCTAAAAAAAAAACTGCAGAAGTTTTTTTTAGAAAGGTAAACATTTTGAGTGAGGAAGCAAGACGTTCTCCAATGTTCCTGACCAATCATATTTACACCGAAGACCATTCCGCAAGGCTGAATGCTTCTGTGTACACTAATCCAACAAACAATTTGTCATATAGGAGAGTGATATATGAAATTCCAGGACAAAAATCTGTTGGGAGGGGGGCTTCTCTCTACCCACCCTCAAACCTGCTACTCAGAATAGGTGGGGAAGGCTCCATTCCTGGGGAGACAGCAGCTGTGAGCAACCCAGCTTTTTAGGAAAACTAAACTCAAGCCCGGTAGTGTTTCTATTCCCTTTGCAGCAAGTCACTAGCCCAGGGGCTCAGTCCCAAGGAACTTCCCCCCCCACACATTCCTGTACCTCCTGCGCCCATACATTTCACTCTGAAACGGTAACCCTTGTCTGAAATGGTGTGGGGCAGGGGTCCCCAACCTTTGGCAACTTTAAGCTATGCTGGCTGGGGAATTCTGGGAGTTGAAGTCCACAGGTCTTAAAGTTGCCACGGTTGGGGACCCCTGGTGTAGGGTTTTCTGCTTGAGCAGGAGGGGTTGGACTAGAAGACCTCCAAGGTCCCCACTCCGTTGCTGTTACTCTTTTCCCCCAGCCCCAGAAACCTGGATGCCAGCTCTTCCTTCTCCTGCCTGTTGGCACAGCTACTTCTTTCCCGCCCCAAGACAAGAAGTAGGTAATCCGTCCATCTCAAACCTTTGGCCAGCTTCGCGCCGAGGAAGCCCAGGAAAGTCCTAAGGGAGCAGCCGGAGAAAAAAGCCCAGGGACGCTCCAGCAGCAAGCAGCAGCCGCAGCCCAGCTCCTCTTCTGCGGCCGGGTCTTGGAAAGCTCCCGTCACCCGAACTGCTCTCTCTGGGCTCCCTGGAAAATCCCCCCCCCCGGTCGTCACGTCCCCCGTTAATTCCTCCGGCGCTGCTCCCGGCTGGCCGGGCGGAGGGGGCGCCGGGGGGGGAGGCGCTGAACCGGCTCCTGGTGGCTGTTCCGGCCGCCTCCCTCCGGCCCTTCTGCCCCCCCCCCCGCTCGCCCTTTCCTTCCCCAGGAGCAAGAGGACCCCCCCCTCAGCGAGACCCCCCCTCAGCGAGACCCCCCCACCCCTTCTTCCCTTCCCCCCCTCCCGCCCCTCCGCAGCCGCGCCTGCCTGCCTCGAGACCAGGGAGGGGGGGAGTCGGTCCTCCCGCCCCCCCAACTGTCCTCCTCCAAAGGGACCCCCCCTCCCCGCCCCCCTCCGGCCGTTGCCTAGCAACCCCTCACCACCACCCCCTCCTGGGCCCGCGCGGCGGGCTCCTGGGCGGCCCTTCCTACCTGGCCCCCGACGGCTTTGTCCATGGCTCCAGCAAGCGGGGCGGGGAGGAGGGAGGGAGGGAGGTCGTCTTCGGCTTCTCCTGAGGCGGCGGCGGCGGCGGCGGCGAGGGCGCTCCCCCTAACAGGCGTCCTCGGAACGGCAGGCCGCGTCCCCCATGGCTCCTGCTCCCCTCACAGACAGGCTTCCGCTCCCACCCAGCGCGGCGGCGGCGGCGGCTGACGCGTCTCCCGTCTCCCCGGCCGGGTCACGCCAGTGGCGTCGGCAAGAGATGGAGGCGAGGCAGCAGCAGCAAAGCGGGGGGGGAGGAGGAGGAGGAGGAGGAGGAGGCGGGGCCAGGATCATCTGCGACGGAAGCCGGCGAGGGAAAGCGCTCGTTTAATGCGCTCTCGCCCCCGCGGAGGCCCCCGCCCTTCGCCGCCGCCGTTGCTAAGCAACGCCCAGCCGGCTTCAGGGGAGCGTCTAGGCCCGCCGTGGGGAGGGGGAGGAAGGTTCAGGTGGGTCGGGTAGGCCTTGTGCGGGGTGGGGGGCTTCCTTGGCAGCAAGCACGCCCGTCCGTGACGGCCCTGAAGCTCTTGGCCTGCGAGTCCCGGCCTGGAGGGTGCCTCGATCCCCGGTTCTCCGCTGCATCCGTGGAAGGGTTGCGGGGGGGGGGCAGATGGGGGCTTCCCTGGGGAATCCTTTGCGGTCTGATGGGATTTGAAGGGCCGGCCCAGAAACCAGGAGACGGTTCCTTCGGGGCCTTCCCTTGTGGATGCAGGGGTTCTCAACCTTGGCAACTTTAAGACTTCTGGACTTCAACTCCCAGAATTCTTCTGGGAGTTGAAGTCCACAACTCTTAAAGTTGCCAAGGTTGAGAACCCCTGGAGGATTAAAGAGTCATCCCATGATTTCAGTGGGCCGGATTGTAAAACAAATGGGTCGTTTTCTAACTCATTATATATATCAACTTCAGGGGCTGTCCGTTTTCTGGAAGTGTATTTTATAGTGCTAAGGTTTGCTTCCCAGACATTTTAAGTTTTGTCCTCAGAAATGTATTCTTAAGTTTCAAGAGCTGTCTGTTTTCTGGAAATGTATTTTATAGTGCTAAGTTTTGCTTCCCAGCATTTGTTTTGTTTTCGAGACATTTTAGGTTTTGCCTTCAGAAATGTGTTTTTAAGTTTTGGTTTCAAGAGTTTATGAAGCTTTGGTTTCAAGATGTGTATTTATTTTAAGTTTTGTCTTCAAAAATTCATTCATTCATTCATTCCCAAAGGTGCTTTTTTCATGAGACAACTGGACTTTTTCTTTGAAGATGTTTCCCTTCTCATCCAAGAAGCTTCTTCAGAATCTCCGTAGACATTCCTTCATTCAGTGCCTTCAAGTCTGTATTGACTCCTGGTGATGGCCTGACTAGTCCCTGCAGTTTTTGTGGCTCCAAACCTTTTAAGAAGAGGTCTGCCGTGGCCTCCTTCCTAAGGCTGAGAGAGGAGCACTGGCTTACAAGTCACCCAGCTGGCTTTCTGCCTAAGGCAGGGCAGGACTAGAACTCGCAGTCTCCCAGCTAAGGCCTGACGCCTTAACCACTACACCAAATGGGCTAAAATATCAGTTGCATGGAAGGAAATAAAAAGAATGCAGGAAGAGATATACAGGTAATAATACATCGGTCATGTGATGCGAGAGAGGTATAATAAAGAATGAGTGTGGGCAGATTGCACTTATGGGCTGTATTTGCACATTTTATCAAGATGAAAATAAATAAATCACATGTTAAGTCAAACAGTTGCTTGGGTTTTTCTTTGGTTGGGATTTTTGAGATCACAATCCCAGGAATGCAATCATAACAATAGTGAAATATGGTTTGACGAAAATAACTGATTCATAATGGTCATTACAATTCTACTAAATATTCCGTTTTCTCTCTGAAATTGAAAGAACACATTTCTGCAAAATAGCTTCATAGATTTTAAAAGCATATTTGCAGCTACTTTTGCCTGCCCTCAGATCCATTTCCCACATTATATGTATTATTAAATTGGAAGTAGAATGTTGAGTTCAGAGATGGCATTAAGCCATGGTGTTAATAATAATTTGTGGAACAAGGACAATGGTTTGTTTGATATAAAACGTTAATGGATTTTCAAAGACTAATTATATTGCATGGATCCAACACTAAATATTATGGCTTAGATCATAATAGATTTATTGACCCATTTGAAGAACATTTTCAAGAACACCGTTGTTTTGTTATTGATAAGAATTGATATGGGTTGATCTGTATTGAACCTATCCCCAGCAAGGGGCCTATTAATCAAGCTTTATGTTTAGAAAGCAGTAATACAATATAACAAATAATACTCCATCATATATTCCCAGAGCGATCAAGTATTTCATAGGAAATGAAAGGTAATTATGAAGCAAGTCATCTCCTGTTTGTTACTTCTATCAATTAGAAATACTTCTGATTCAATATAGATAATGCCAGCTCAGAGGACAGGGACATATTTGCCTGACCTATTTCTGGAATCGAAAACAAATATTCTTTGCACAATGGTTACTCAAGGCTTTTGCTGACATCAAAGTTGAACTCTCCATTCCAAATTTGAACCATTCTTCAAGAGATAACTGGTCTGCAGATAGGCACTATTCACTTTACAAACATAACATCTGTTTGTTATGAAAGTATGTTTGAAACTGATTATTATTATTATTATTTCAGGCTCTCGTCAAACAATTTTTGACATTCGTTTTCTTGTTTTTAAATAACTGTTCATATGTCATCTTGAAGTAATCGTTGAGATGTAATATTCAAATTAGGAAAATCCTCGTGCTTTAAATCACACGCTTCACCAACCGCTGTTGGTTATCTGCGGACGTTCACATCCTAGTTGAGATGTGGAGTCCTCTAACTCTGACTGCTGTAGGTCTTCCATCCTGCTGACTTCTCACATGGCCCCTCTGTGCAATGAAACAATGCAGAGAATGAGCAGTAAAATCTGAGCAATGAAACAATGCAGAGAATGAGCAGTAAAATCTGAGCATTTGACTCTGTCTTCTGTAATATGGCACCGATTGAACCAGAGGAGGAAGTAGTGCAGATGAGATAATAATCTTCCCCTTGACTGGCATTTTGCCTAAAGGGGCTGTCGAAGATGGACCTGCTACCTGTACATTGGTTGATTCACACAAAATAACGCTGCCAACACAGGAGTCAGAATATTTAAAGGTCATGTTAGAAAGAGCTTAAAAATGTCCAAAACCTGTTCGACAAGAGCCTGTAACAAGATAGAGGAAAATGATCTATCTTTTTATTATTTCTAGAAAACTGCATTCTGCAAATAGTTTTGGATAAGCAAGGTTAGCTGCAATTTGAGGCATAACCCAAATATATATATACCATAGTTTAAATTGAATCAGCTCCATACAAAATGGTCACTGGTATCAGAACACTGTCCTGTGTTATGCGCTATGATGTAAACGTTAAGTGGAACTGGTGCACTAAGCTATTTCTGTCTTTTTTAAGAAACAGAAAGTGTAACTCTTTCCGTTTCCTACTACTTTGGAAAGTTGTCATAGATGGAGGCTTACAGTAATTTTAAACCTCATGCATTATTTACGTTCATGTGTGGCCATAATTAACTCGAGGAAGCACAGTTGTGTTTGCGGAGATTCTCAATCATCCAGTTCATGGTTGTCCCAAAGGTGTTTTTTTCCCCAAAAAAACAACTGGATTGTCTTGATTTTTCTCTTTGAAAATGTTTTGCTTCTTATCATGTCTCAATTCACTGGAGAAGCTTCTTGGATGAGAAGCAAAACATTTTGAAAGGAAAAAAAAAAGAACAAGAAAGTTCAGTTGGGGAAAAAAAACCACCTTTGGGATACAGAAAAGGTATTTTGCCTTTCAGATTTTTGTACTACAGTAATTCTACATTTGTTGAAGCTCAGGAGAATTTCTAAATGCCACATGAGAATAAATCCATTCTCAACGTGTTTACGCATAAATAATGTTCTTACTACTTTATACTCAAGTAGTAGCATAATTGTAGCATTAGAGAAATCTTCATTATGTTAACATTTTCTGTTATGATAAAGGAGATTAGGAAATTATGCAAAAGGTACAGTCGTATCTATTCCTAGTATTGAGATGATATAGTAATGTTACCATTTCCCCTCCACCCCCATAATATTTCTTCATATTTTCCAGGGTATGATTAAGGTGTGTATTTAATTCCTTATATAAAGAGATTTTATCAAGAGTCCTTAAAGCCCTGCAATTTAAGAGCAGAGTTTAATGAGTCATCCATAAATACATGAGTGCAAAATGTAGCAAGATGCTAACCAATATTCAGATGTCTTAATTTTTCTAAGTAAACCACTTAATCTTTGTTCTTCTGTCCTTTCTAAAATACATTTGCTTCAGCGTATGTATGCATGTTGTTGTGTTCCTGTTCGTAAATGGCTCATTTAAAAACCTGGTCACTGTTCTTAGTGTTCAAACTGTGGGAGAACATGTCCACCCAACAGAGAATCTAGCGAAAAATGCCCACTGCGAGCATGATTTAAAACAACTGTGTCCTTTGTAATGGCCATCTGATCTATTAAGCAAAAATGTAGCTCAGCTTGTTAGAAATCCTACTCCTAAACTATGTTGACTGTTGAATTATAGCCTCTGACATTTTTAAAAAAAATTGCTCGATTGTATTTAAAATAAATGTATTGCTGCACTGAAAATATTCATTGTTTTTTTTTTTTTTTTTTAAAAAATCCAGAAATACATATCCTTGTAAAGGTCATTTTTAAAAAAAAAAAAAAAAAAGCTATTATTCAAGCTTTGCCAACTCTATGGTTCTTCAACACTAATCTGCTTAATGTTTTTTTAATCTGTTTGTTTCAGCCAAGCAAAATTCCTACCATTATGCAGACAGATTGTACACGCAAGGAAGAATTTGCACATGTAGTTTTATTTTCAATGCTCTGGAGACACAAGCAAAGATCTGTGGGGGACTCAGTTTCATGATTAGTTGAAGAAAACAGATTTTATCCTCAAGTCAGCAATCTCCCTAAAGCAGCCCCTTATTGTTCCCCCATAACTAATGTGGGAGAGATTAAGAACACACTCTGGAATCTGATCTGATGTCCCCACTTCACTTTAGCATATCAGCACTGAGTAATTAGAAGGGCAAACAATGAATATGGCTAAATATGAAGACTATTACTTTCAGTTTCCCCCAAATGCTATTGCTCCAGAACACTGGGAAATTTAAATGACAGCTCTCTAGTCACCAATATTAATCAAAATGCTCCTGCAGCCTGCTCATCACTAAATGCAGGGCTTTGTTTTTGTCCTGTAGAACAGGGGTCCCCAACCCCCGATCCGTGGACCAGTACTAGGCTACAGCATGCCAGCAACCAGGCCACACAAACAAGCAAAGCCCCATCTGCGGGATGCAGGCAGCACATAAAACCACAACCCCTCTCTCTACATAACCGGTCCCTGGTGCCCAAAAGGCGGGGAACCTCTGCCGTAGACGCTAACAGCAGCTCCTGATCATGGGAAAGTTATTCTGTGGAACTTCCAGAGGCATGACTAGACTAAGCTGACCTTTGGTCTGATCAGTTTTTATTACACTTGACAACTGTGCCACACCCCTGATGACTTTATCTCCATCACAGCACATTTCTCTATGTGAGGTTTGGCTGCTAAGCCCAACTTCCTCATAAACAAAGGTGGAAAATTATAGTCCTGCCAACTGGGCAAAAGGAGATGATGTCCAGCTCATGTGCTTGGGCTGAACATGTGCTTGGGTCAGGGGTGGGGAACCTTGGCTCTTTTAGGACTTGTGGACTTCAACTCCCAGAATTCCTGAGCCAGCCACGCCAGGTTCCCCACCCCTGGCTTGGGTTGATCTGTGAAAAGAAAGAATGGAATTTACCTTCCTGTGAACCTCAATTAAAAGCAAAAAAGCTAGTCAGAGGTCTACCCATCCTTAGGATATTACCAAAGCTTGGCCCAAATGAATAATGAGTTGCAGAGGTCCGAAACTGTACCTTGTGCTGCCTCTTTGATGTTCTCCAGAAGCCATGCATTTTCTTTCGGGAGGATCTGGAAGAAAAACAGGTTTTCCATGTATGAGGTTATCATCCCACCTTTCTTCCAGAGAGCTCAAAATAAATTAAAAACAAACCCGTATCAATGTACGTTAGGCTTCATTTCTGTAGTGTAAATTTTGTGCTTGACCTGTGATATACTTACCAAACAGATTTTAGTGGTGGTAGCCCTAACTCCAGTTACATCCCCAGGAATAGTAGATCCTCTTGCAAACTTAGTCTTCCTCTATCCATTTTGCTACTCATTTTTATCAAGCTAGTATTGAAATGGCTTTTTAAAAAAAACTATTGACTAGAATAGTCCTGCAGCAATTAGCTGAAGGAATAGCACAGTGAAGAGATACTGTGGTTGCAAATGCAGTAAGATCATTTTGTCACAGTATGTTTGCATAGACACATTAAAAAATATGTAGCAGATACTGAAATTCCACTCCAATGTTTCTGCAGTTTGCTGCCTGTTTGAAGTTATATCCTTTTTGTACATGAAAAAAAATCTAGATTTCTACATTATTTTTATTAGAATTTATATACAAGTTATACATCAGAGCCATACCAAGAAATCAGTCCACAAAATAAATTTTGCTCACTTTTCTTGTTCAGCTGCAACTAGGTATGTTCTAGTTTGGCTCTGGCTTAAGCCATTGTCAGCTGAATGCTGGCTTCCTATAAAAA